TACTTCTTTTTCTAGTTTCATAAAGTGAGAGCTCAGATTTTTAATACTAGGTCTTTTCCCAATATAAGCATTAAAACTATAGTTTTAATAGCCATAGCTATCTAAAAACTCTAGTTTTAATACCAACAGCTATCTCTTTATATATTCATATTCATATCTCTACATAATTTATTGTTAATGATTTTTTAATCTAATTCTTTTGTAGTAAAATGCTTTAAATTTCTGAAATTTGTTTATTCAGACTATTATATAGTCCAGCCTGCAGTCTACCTTAGTAAATTTCCATGTACACTTGAAATGAATGTATGATCTACAAATATAGGTAGTCATGTTCTATAAATGTCAATTAGATGAGTTAAAATAAATTTAAAAATAATAAAAAAATAAAATTCAGATCTCCCATATTTTTACTATTTTTGTCTATTTGTTCTATTAATTTCTGAGAAAGAGGTCAAAAGTATCTCTACTTGTAACTGTGGAATTGTTCATTTTGCTTGTTAGTTTTTTCAGTTGTGTAGCCATTATTATATGTGTACATGCTTAGGATTGTTATGTTTTCCTGGTAAATTCACACTTTATTATGATGAATTTTATCTCATCTCTGGCATTGCATCAATCCTTGAAGCCTATTTTGCCTGATACTGATGTGGTAATAATAAATATATAGTTAATATTGCTTTCTTGTATTTATTGTTTGCATTGTATATCACGGTCCATTCTTTATTAGTTTAAATTTTTTTTATGTGGTGCCAGGGATCAAACCCAGTGCCTCATGCATGGTAGGCAGGCACTTTACCACTGAGCCACAACCCTGACCCATGGTCCATTTACTTCCAATCGGTGTCCTGTGCTTACCACCTCTCTTGTAGACAGCAGGCAGTTTGTTTTTGCCTTTTTATCCACTGTGACTAATGCTGCCTATTAAATTTACCTATTAACATTTAATGTCATTATGAATGCTGTGTTACATACATTTGCTCTTACACCATTTGCTCTTTGTTTTGAATTTCTCCCATTTGTTTTCTGCTTCTCTTTTCTTCTGCTTTGATCAAATTTCCTTAGCATTTCCTTTTATCTCCTCTCCTGGATTTAGATTTACCTGATTTTATTTATTTATTTATTTATTTATTTTTTTATTTATTTATTTATTTATTTATATTTAGTGTTGTAGTTAGCCTAGGGATTGCATAAGTATCCTTATCACTCAGAGTTAGTATTGCATGAAATATAAGAACAGTGCAATGTATAGTTTCCTTTATACACCTCCAGCTTTTGTGCTATGGTTGCATATTTTCTCTATATGTTATAAATCCCAAAGAGAGTACTCTAATTTTTGCTTTAAATAGTCATGTGTTTTAAAGAAATTAGAGAAAAGTACTTTCAATTCAATCACTGAGTTCTTTATTTCAACTATTATATTTTTCATATCCCGTATTTCATTTGGCTCAAACTCAAAAGTTATTCCCCACTTCACATTTTCAATATCCTTTATTCAGGCTTTGAAGATTGTTATTAAATTTAATTTACAATCCTGGCCTTCTCAGTCCATTAATTCTGCTTCCTCTGGTTTTGGCCTTTGTTTCATGATGCTGTTTTCTCTGGAGTTCTCACATTTTTTCTTCTAAAACTTAGTCACTGGAGATTTTTTAGCTACCTTTACTGGTAGTTCACACTTTGTAGGAGGGTTAGAAGCCTAGATTTGAGATTTTTATGGCCTCCAAGTGTGTTGGGAAAGGGGTCCTGCCTCAAGGCACTGCAGGATGATATTGCAGTTCTGTTGTCATTATGACCCATGGGAACCCACTTCTTGAGGAAATGCCCAGAACCCCCACCTTGGCACCGCTCATTTTCAGAGACTATTTTTCTCCATGGTAATTTTCAAGGTCAATACATTATCAGGGCGCTTGGATGAGAGATGCTCAGAGAGGGCTATCTAGGCAGCCTCCACTTACCACCAAAGTCAGGTATCTAGGATTTTACTCTGCCATTGAGAGGTATGATTATTTCCCTGTTCTGTAAGATCCATGCAATCAAGAGTGATCTACATAAGTAAATACAAAGGAAGAAAAGGAACCCAACTGGAATTGTGTGTGTGTGTGTGTGTATGTGTGTGTGTGTGTGTGTGTGTGTGTGTAAATTGGCTCACAGGATTATTGAGGCTGAGAGATTAAAAGATCTAAGGTTGGCAAGCTGGAGACCCAGGAAAGTGGATGTGTAATTCCAGTCTAAGCCCAAAGGCCTGAGAACCAGGCAAGCTGATGGTGTAGGTTCCAGTCTGAAAGCCAGCAGGCTCAAGACCCAAGAACAGATATTTCAGTGTAAGTCTGAAGGCAGGAAGAGATTGATTTTACAGCTGAGGCAGACAAGCAGAAGGAGTCTCTTCTTACTGAGCTATTTCATTCTATCCAGACCTTCAACTGAATACACGAGCTCTACCCACATTGGGGAAGGCACTCTGCTTTACCTTGTCTTCAAAAGTTAATCTCATCCAGAAACACCCTGACAGACATAGCCAGTTTAATGTTCAATCAAATATCTGGGCATCCCAGGGCCCAATCAAGTTGACACATAAGATTAAGCACAACACCCTTTCTGGGATGTTTTGTTCTCTTCCATTCAGTGCTGCTATCCTCCACAATCACCACAATCCCTACTTTCAGGACCAGCAACTCCCTCAACTCCTTAAAGACAGAGATATGAGAGGAAGCCAACACCCTGATCTAGCTCACCATCTTTTGTGGAAATGAAATTTTTCAAAACATTTAAATTCTACCCACTTAGGAAACCCCTAAATTTTGGGATCACTCTAAGACATTTCTATAAGTGGTTTGGGGTCCTTGTTAACAATTTTCTTAATATTTCTCTGACCTTAAAGAAATGTAAGAGGAAAACACAGACCTGCTATTTTTAAATTTTTTTTTCTTTTTAGTTATACATGACAGTAGAACGTATTTTAACATATACTTACATGGAGTATAACTTCTCATTCTTTCCATTCTTGTGGTTGTACCTGGTGTGGAGTTACACTAGTTGTGTCTTCATATATGAACATAAGAAAGTTAAGTCTAACGCATTCTACTGTTTTTCCCACTCCCATTCCCCTTCCCTTCTCCCCATTCCCAGTCGAATCAGGTGAACCTCCACTGCCCTGCACACACCTATAGTGAGTCAGCATCCACATATCAGAACATTCAGTCTTTAGTTTTGGGGTATCGGCTTATTTTACTTAGCATGACAGCCTCCAGTTCTGTCCATTTACCAGCAAATGCCAAAATTTTACTCTTTGTGGCTGAGTAACATTCCATTGTGTATATGTGCCACATTTTCTTGACCCATTAAAGGCACCTAGGTTGGTTCCATAGATTAGCTATTGTGAATTGAGCTGCTATGAACATTGATGTGGCTGCAACAGACTTTCTGTCTACCAAGTTTTATTTGTATGGGTTTTTGTAATAAGAGTGTGTTTTGTTTTTAATAAATGAATTCTAATTTGAAATTTGATTATCCTAGTCATAAGAAATACAACAAGTTGTGGACAAAAAGAAATCAACTATAGAGAATGGAAATTTTGTATAAGACAATTAAGGAGATTCGCTGAGTGATAAATATTGTATTTCAAGTGAACTTTTAATCCCAAAGGAAAATAATTTCATGGAATTAATGTTATTGACAGTACCTGATTTCTCATCCTTTGAGGGAGCATTTCCTAGCCTTCCATCCAAATTTCCCTTTGCCCTCCCCACTCTGCTGCTTTACCTAATGAATGTCTCCAAAACTCCATTTAGAAAAGGCTGCAGAATTTTGACCTTAAATTAGGAGGCTGAGGCAGGAGGATCATGAGTTCAAAGCCAGCCTCAGCAACATCGAGGCACTAAGCAACTCAGTGAGACCCTGTCTCTAAATAAAATACAAAATAGGGCTGGGGATGTGGCTCAGTGGTTGAGTGCCCCCGAATTCAATCCCCAGTACAAAAAAAAAAAAAAAAACTGAAATTCAGATAAATATGCCAGATACCAAAGTGCTATTGAAACCTAGACCTGGGATCTGGTATGATCTATCTGTATTTGACTTTTGTATTTCAGTATGTGTGGAGCCACCCCAAAGTTTTTGAGGAAAGAGAGAAAGAAGTGAAATTTCCAACTGCATCATTACTCATTCATTTGTCCCATGGAGAGCAGCGGTCTGGCTACTCTCATAGAGGGACACATGCTTAGATTGTCTCACACGTTTTATTTCCTGCAAAACAAGATGGTCTCAAAAGAGGCAACTGGTTGTCAGGAAGCACAGACCATGAAAGCCAGTGGTAACTTTGGAAACCCTCTAATGACCTCTTATTTTACAGTGGGGGAAAAGAGGCCCAGGTGGAGTCCATAGTTTGTTCAAGATCATTCAGGTGCAGCAGTGGTCTCTCCACTACCCCAAGACTTCACTTGAATCCTGACTTTTAAAATGTGTCCTTTAAGACTCTCCTCTGTTAAATGGTGTGTGCTGCTCCTATTGACTTCTTAAAATGATTTTTTTATTGGTAGTAATGTTTGGATAGAGGGAAAGTGACCACAACATTCGGAGCGACCAAGAGATTTTTATTGCAGCAGTGCAAAAGAGGAGAGAAAGAGAGAGAATGAGGAAAGAGAGAAAAAAGGGGGGAGAGCAAAAAGAGAGAGAGAAAGAGAGAGAGAGACAGAGAGACAGAGAGGAGAGAGGGAGAGCGGGAGAGCAAGAGAGCAAGAGAGAGAGAGAGAGCAAGAAAGCAGGACAGAGAGAGAAAGAGAGAGAGCAAGAGGGGGGGCCCGACAGGAGGGAGTTTTTATAGCCCAAATCTAATGGGATCTCTGGGTCTGCAAGCCTTGTTGGCACAAGGGGAGTTAACTGTTCAGTCTTGAGCACGGGTTGAGTGTTCAGTCTTGAGCAAGGGGGTAAAGCATTCAGCCTTGAGTGGGGGCTTGGGTGTTTGGGCTTGAAGCAAACAGGTGATAAAGAACCAGACAGAGGGTTTGAGAAGCCAGCTCATCCTGCAGCTAACTTTGTTTGGCATGCCCTGCAGACAGCTTACTCAGCCTGTCCTGCACCTAACAGAGGGTATACATGAAGAAGTCTAATGTGAAACAATTGACATTAGCTTTTTTGATGAAATGATCTTATAAAATCAGAATTGAGGGAGAGCTACAGATAGAGGCCAAGGACCCCTTCTTTTGCTTTCACAGCTCTGAATGACTGTCAGTGGGTGATTCACTCAATTGTCAATTGCTTTTCTGGAGCCACTATGATGTGCCAGACTATGTAAGATACTGGATCTACAGACCTAAAGGACATGGTTCCAGGCAGTTGAGAAGACAGCCCAAGAAATCATGACCTTCTGGCCAGGGTGCCAAATGCCATGATGGAATTCTATGTGGGTGCTGTGGAAGCAAGCATCCTCACACTCCACTGCATTCCTTACTTATGAGTGTGTTGGGTCTTAGTTACCCATTCTCCCCAGCACCCTACATCTTACCAATTCAGAAGTTGTTGATGAATGAACACATAGCTAAGTGTTCTAGGTGTTAGATACACAGTAGAAGGGGATAAAGGTCTAGATAATTTTGCCTATACCCACGGGTAGCTCACTAGCAGCTACAGAAAACATCTGACCCACAGACTTTTGTAATTGGACATGTCTTGTGTTATTATTTTTTTTTAATTGCACTACATCTTACTTTAAAACACTTCCAGCTTCTCTAGTAAGAGCAGAATAGCTGGCAACACTGTGTGCTTCTTTCGGAATGATCTGACTGGTTAGAGCTAAGTGGAGCTTAGATCCCGTGATAACTAATTTTGTCTGTTAACTTGACTGAGCTCAGGGCTGCCCAGACAGCCCTGAGTGTGTGTGTGTGTGTGTGTGTGTGTGTGTGTGTGTGTGTGAAGGTGTTTCTGGAAGGTATTAGTATTTGAATTGGTAAACCAAGTAAAGAAGATCCACCCTCACCAGTGCGGGCAGCATCATCTCATCTACTGAGGGCTCCAACAGAACAGAGAAAGGAAGGGGAAATTCTCCCTCTCTTTCTTTCTTTCTCTCCCTCCCTCTCTCTCTTTTTTCTCTCTCTTTCTCTTCTTAAGCTGGGACATCCACTTTCTCCTGCCCTCAGACATAGGCTTGGTTCTCAGGTCTCCAGACTCAGACTAATTGAACTCCTAGCTTTCCTAATCTCTATCTTACAGACAGCAGATGATGGACCTTCTGGGATTAAGCAATAAGCAATTTCCATCGTAAATCTCCTTATGTATACATCTCATTGGTTCTGTATCACTAAGAAAGCTGTTGAACACAGATCCCCTTTGATCACGTGGGGTCCTGGTCCTCTGGTCACAGGAGCCTATACCCCACACCCAGATGTCTTCTCTTGTTTGTATTATGGATCTTGGCCCATTGGATTCTTGGTCTGGATGCCACAGGAGGTTCTTTTAGAGAAGAGCAGGCATGCTTGGGAAAACAGGGAAAGGATCCATAGAGTTCTAAGGGCCTGTGAGTCAGTGAATCCTGAACACAGGATTGAGCCAAGCTGAAGAGAAGGACATTGGCCTGGAGGAGATGAGATTCTTTATTGATGCCTCAGTTGGTTCCAGTCTCAGTTGTCCCTGAGGATGAGGAAGACTTTCTTTTCAGTTTTCCTGCTGGGAAAGAAGATTTTCAATCAACCCTGGGTTTTCATTTGTAACTTGAAACTTACCAGACAGCCTCTTTGTTGAGGTTTATTGGAGCTGCAAGGAAGCCCAAGTCCTCTGACCACACCCCTCCTTTAACATTTAAGGAAACTGAGGCTAAGAGAGGCCAAGGTCACACAGCAAGGACAAGAGTTGAAACAGAAAACAACTCCTTCTCTATCTGGCCTATTACTATACCAGAGGGGGTAAAAAAAGAAAAAGAAAATAAGGGAGAAAAGGCAGTTGTGAAGAAACAACATGAAAATATGAAACAGTGTCCTGCTTTTACAATAGTCAGAACTTTGAATTCAGGTTTCTTGTTCTTTTTTTTTTTTTTTGCTTGTGTGGTGCTGGGGATAAACCCAGGGTCTTGTGCATGTGACACAAGCACTCTACCAACTTAGTTATACCGTCTGCCCCATAAGTTTTTTTAAATAAGGAAATGTGTTTTAATAATCCTACTTCTATGATTGGTGGGGAGGGGATCCTTCATGTCCCCAAGGAATCTTAAGAAAACCTGCATTAAATTCTTCTCCAAATCTGTGTGAGTCATGACAACTATAATAAACTCAGAGTGTGTGTGTTTTCTTAGAGTTTATTTTTTAGGGTAGGAAGAGGGGAGCTATGAAAGGACTTGGAAAACTCTACAATTGTAATAAGAATGGGTGCTGATTGGATCATTCCAAAATCAGGCATAGCCTAGTCACATCTGTACCTCAGTCAAGAAACTCTATGAAGAGAGTTCCTGAGGAGGGGGGTGTTGAGATGACAGTAGGACTGAGTGGGATGTAAGTGGGCTGCTGGTGGCATCATGCCCTTCCCATGTAGGACATATGTATACACTGCCCCTTTTGCTTGGAACACTATTCCCCACTTCTAGCCCTAACTGCTCACCCCACTTTCACCAGCTGAAGCAGTTGCCTTCAGGGTTCAGAGAAAATGTTCCCTTGGCCCCCTGCACTTCTGCCTCCCCACACTTCTTTTTTTTTTAACATTTTCTTTCATATTCTTTAGGCTTTATTTTTTTATTAGTTGCTCAAGACAATACAATGATCTTGACATATCATACATTTGAATCCAATAGGGTATGAATTCTCATTTTTCCACGTGTACAGATTGCAGGATCACATTGGTTATACATCCATGTGTATACATACAGCAATCTACTCATTTGTGTAATTGGCTGCTTAACACCAGGCTTCCTGCTGCATAGTAAGTTCCATGAGGGACAGTAATGCCTGGGTCAGTTTGGCTCATGATTAGCACAGTGTCTAGCCCACAGTAGAGGCTCAATAAGCATTTAGTGAATGACCGTAAGATGTCATCCCTGCCTCTAATACCTCACAATTTTTGTAGAGACTGCTTAGAGAGCAGCTAAACAGTCAAGAAGCTTTTAACACAGCTACAGTTGCCTCTTCTGCCCCCAAATATTACCTTGAATCATCTCATCTTCCCACTGGGTACTGGGCTTGAAAAGGTCTAGCACAGAGAGGATTGATTAGCCTGGGTTTAAACAAGCACCCTAGACATAACTTCTAAAGGCATTGATTGACTGCTTGGAAGAAGTGAATTCAGCTCACTGTCCCAGACACTGGTGTGGACACATGGCTGAATAGGATAGACATGCTCTGTGGGTGGAGCAAAGAGATTTCAGGTAGGAACCCCAAAGTGACATCCCGAGGACAGGAGCTCCAAATTGCATGATTTGGTTTTCTGTTGCACTGCTTCTGTCTTGGACAGTGCTATAGCACGAACTCTTTGCTGTGGTGGGGTAAATTGATTTAATCAAAGGAACAATTCTTCCTGAAAGATTTCCTAAAAAAACGTTAAACCATTTGCAAACATGAATTTTGAGTCATTGGTAACAAGTTACTTTCCACACATCTTATGACCCCTACCAAATAACCAATATTCAGGCACTTAGATGTAGTCTGCAAGGTGTTTTTACTTACATTATGCCATTAGATCCCCACAACATTAAGGGTAAGCTTTGTCATCCTACCTGCTTTATGGATGTCCAAATAGATTTAACAAAGACTTGGAAACCTGCCTGTGCTCACATAGTCAGCAGAGCAGTGCAAGGGTATGGACAGGCTGCAGTCTCTGCCACCTGCCAGTCCCTCTTGCTTATCCCATGAGGGCCAAAGGGTTTTCAACAGAAACAATTGATGTTGATGTTGGAACCTGGATCCTTGCCTTCCAGCAGGCAGCCAGGCCTGGACATTAATTAGCACATTACCACGGGAGCAATCCCATAATTTCCAGTTGGGAAGCAAGAAATGAAAAGCTCCCCATGTGCCAATATTGTGGTCTCCTTGTTGTTATTGTTGTCATTGTTTTTTATGTATTTAATGTATTGGTGCAGAGGATTAAAAGCAGGGCCTGGAGCATGCTGTGCCTGTGTTGTACTCCTGAGTCACACTCCCAGCCCGTGACATTGTTATTGAGCTTTCTTGACTCACCGCCCCAGAGACCTGACACTCCCTCTCTGCAGGTTGTAGGTGTTTGTGAAAGGGGAAGACAGGCAAGTTGCCTTGTGCCTTTGTACAAGAGGCAAGAGCTTGTGGAAACCCTGTCCAGGGGCTGGCTTTGAGAAACACATCTGGAGGTCATGTGGAAGTGCACTGCAGTCGAGTGGATATGCAGGGTGGGAGGGGTACAGGGAGGAAGGAGCTGGACCTGCGCCTCAAAATCAGCCTCCAGGTTGTTGTCCTCAGAAGAGGGGATCTCAGGGGAGACCAGAGTCCTGGACACAAAACAAAAGGGTAATAAGGGAGGAAGCAAATGAAATTGCTTATCTCATTTATTTATTTTTCCTTTCCCATTTCCTCTTATGCTCCTTCAACCCAACTTCCCCCAGTCTCTGGTTTCCCGGCCACTATCTGGCCAACAACCTCCCACATTAGCATTCTCAGACCCTCTCTGCTCCTAGTAATCTCTTCTCCAGGCCCTGCTGAGGGCTGTATTTACCACCACACAGGATTTCCGTAGATGATAACAGTGGCAGGGCCTGGTCGCTCCAGAGCTATCCCTCCTCTCTGTGTGGGTGTCTATTTACAGAGAGGGAAGAAGCTTAATTTCTCCTAAGAATATGGTATCTCTTCAGTGTCTTCCCTACACCCAACAACTGAGCAAATCTCTTGGAACACAACGCTTTGCTCTCTGTCCCTCCCTCCCTGAATGCTGTAGATCTTGATTTTAAATAAAATATATATTTAAAAAAAATTTTTTGGTCTGTTTTGTCTTGGTCTTCATGTGTGGATGACCCAAATGGAGATCCAAGACACATAAGATGCACTGAGGTGAATTGTTTGAGGTCTATTCACGCTGAGGATTATGGGGAAAGGGCCTCCTGGACAGATCTGGCCAATCCATGAGGGGATGCAGTGCCTCTTGTTGACCAATCTCATGGAACATGTGCCCACCACAGAGTGTTCACTTACTCTGGGGCTGGCTATACCCTGGGACTGTTGGCTTTTCACTCAAAAAATTAAAAAAAAATTATATATATATATACACCCTCACAGGGTGAGATGTTCTTTGTTTAATGTCTTATCAATGTGACACACACATTCAGAAAAGTACACACTCTACCAGGTAGATATATTTTTCCAAAGCAGATGTGCTCAGGTCAATCGGCACTCAGCTTAATAACAGGATCTTTCCCAGACTCAGAAGCCCTTTCCTACACTCCAACCCAGTCACTGGCCATCCCTCCCCACCCAGGGTAACAGTCCTGATGCATCAGCTCTGCCTCATGGAGTTTAGTTTTAAGAAGCTGGGTTCCAGAAGTGCACAGAGAAGACTGGTTTTCCTTAATCAACAGTATCCAGGGTGGTAGGGTAGGGGGGGCCTCATGGAGCCTGATGTGGGTTCTACTTATTTTCAACAGTCAACATCACTCACTAACTCCTAAACACCACATGAACTGCGAGGGATTTTAGGGAAAGGATTATCCTAATGAGAATCATAGCAGTGGGCAGAATGCCAAACGTGGAGGAAAATTGAAATGAGATAAACAAGACAAAGGCATTGTAAAGAGCTAGGAGCTACAAGAAGCCAGGGCCTCCAGGGATGGACTGCAAAGATGGCAGGAAGTGTAGACATATGTTAATATTTTCCCCAATGGGAGAGAAAACATTTCCAGTCTCTTCCAGCAGTCTTCATCCCAGCATGGGTCTTCACATTTCCCCCATTTCTGAAGACACTATTTTAAGTAAAACTACCCCCTCCACCTCTTAAATAAGCATTGCACAGAAGTATAATGTGAGACACCAGGAGAAATTTTTTTACTGTGGTAAAATAGATATAACACCAAATTTACTATTAGTACAGTGGCATTTTGTACATTCACAATATTATGTGACCAATACTACTATCTAAAACATTTTCATCACCTTGTACCCATCACATAGTTGATTCCATTCCCAAAACCAGGATTGGAAGCAGGTGGAAGGCTTTAGCTAAAGGTGTGTTGTTCAGACCTGAGGGCTTCTTCTGTCCTTGTAAGGCAAATGCTAACATTTTCTTATACAATACCCACATATGTAGCTTAATTTTTTTTTCTAGTAATCACATTAAAAAAGTAGAAATTAACTCTAATAATTAAAAAGATGAAGTTAATTCTAACAATTCACTTAATCTAACATATCCAAACTATGATCATTTCAATATGTAATTATTATAAAAAAGATGACAAAGATATCTTATACTCTTTCATTCATACGAAATCTTTTGTACATTTCATACATTCCCAGTGCTCAATGGACACATGTGCTAATGACCATGTGGCTCTGAACATTTTGTAGAATGCTATCAACGTGCTAAGTCATCTCTTTAAAAGGTGATTATTAAGTACACAGGGATTCCAAGGCTATAGTTCTGTTTTTGAATGTAAATATATATAGTCTTAATTATAAAAGCAATATATTTGGAAACTATAGCCACAAAAATTTTGCACAAACATCAATACAAGAAAAGCTATCACCTTTTGCTCTTGGTATGTCATGCATCTTGGTAGTGTGTTTCCCACATTGTGTGCAGCATCTAGTGGTTTTTCCTCCCACTTTGGGGTAAAAAACTGAAGTCCCACATGGCCACTCACCCAGAGACTTTTCAAAGGGACATGATTGTGTGTCAGCACACAGGGCCATGTGGAGTGATCTCTGAGAACAGCTGCAGGGTTGTCCTGTGGCCTGGCAACCCTTCTGCCCCATCAGCAATTTTCTAGCAAAGCTGGAGGTTGCAGAGACCAACGCAGACACTGGACTCACAGGGAACCAGGGGAGCAGCTCTGGCAGTTTTAGAGGCCATAGTCAGTCCTTTCTTTGTGACTAGTGGAACCAGAGCCTTGTGGAAAATAAATCCAGAATGGTCAAACATTTGCTTATCTTCATGGTCACTCCACTGACACGGCCAGCACATCTTCTCTTGGGCTACCTGGTGCTCATTAGGGCACCATGAAAACTCTCTCTCCCTCAGGGAATCTGTAAAAGGAGGGGAAATGTCCTTTTCCTTGAGGACTCAGATAGGAAGAGGAGAGAAGGAAAGGGATGAATTTACTGTCCTTTCAAAATTCTCTCTAGCCTCCAGCTCTGTGTTAGCTTTCCATCAAAATACCTGAGATAGATTAGCTTGAAGAAAGGACAGGATTTTTTTGACTCCCTGTTTGGGAAGTTTCAGTCCACGGTCAGGTGACCTGTTGCTTTTGGGCCTGTGGCCAGGGAGCACATCATGGTGGGAGTGTTGTTGGAGGAAGCTGTCCACTTCATGGTGGCCAGGAAACAAAGAGAGAGAGAGAGAGAGAGAGAGAAGGGCAAAGGTCCCCATATCCTCTTCAACAGCACTACCCCAATGACCCAACTTCCTTCCACTAGGATTACTTCGGAACATTCAAGATCCAAACAGTAGCAAGATGTTTACAACATTCTTTCTCACATACATGGAGCTCAACTTTGAAAACATGATCCAGATAGCAAAGAGGTTGGTTAACTGGCTTGTGTCTAAGATTTCTTCTAACCCTACTACTCCTGGGTGCTAGAATACCATTCTTCCCTCAGTAAACACACACACCTACACACACACATACACAAAACACAGAATACACAGACACACATAGCCCAAGTCTCAGATCTACTCTTCAGAAAGGCAGGCAAAGAATAAGAGCAGCTCTACTCAGCTTTGTGAACTCTATGGGAAAACACAGAGAGCTGAACAGAAGCACTTTTATTTAACATTCACGCTCAGAAAAAAAAACTCTAGCAGAAACCAGGCTTGGTATCCAGGAATGTAAAAACATTTTTTTTTAAGAAGCTTGATGCCACAGTGCCCCAAGTTGGGGGAAAAAATGTGCCATTATATATGTTTATAACAACATCTGATTTAATATTATACAATTTTGCTTAGTCACAAACCAGAACAAATACTTTCAGATTTATTACATCCTTCTATTCAGAGACTTAAGTAATCATAGTTAATAATCCCGCCATTCCACAGCCCAAGGAAAAGCTGTATAATTCTTTGGGACCTAAGGTTCCTGAGAGGCAGGTTATTTTCAAGAAGGATTAAAGGTTTTAATGCTCTTGATGAAGCTTGAAATTCATCTTTTCCAGTTTGCATGAAAAGAGCTTCCTCTGAAGCTTAGGCTGGGAGGTGGAAAGAGGACCAACAAGCAGGTGTCACACGGCCTCTCCCTGAGCTCTCAGGGAAGGTGGCAATTGTTCACCAATGTTCTTAAGCCTTACCTTGTCTTCTAAAAAAAAAAGAAAGAAAGAAAAAAGCAAGACCATGGAACTGTCTCCAATGCTTTCCAAATTGTCAATGCTGTATTGTGAGCCACCTTCTTATTTATTGATTCATTAAAAGGCACTAACAGATTTTTTAAAAAATATTCTTACAAAATATACTTTCTCGTGCATTACCCCCCACAGATGTGCACACACACAGTATTTATTACCCAATTTGTATACAAATGTTAAGCCCCAAGCATTGCCCTGCTGGCTAGGTTAACCAGGGCTAGTTAAAGATGTCATAGCTAACTCCTGTGCAACTAACCAGGTTGTAGGAATGGTGCCTTCACAGTTTTCCTGTCTTTCTGGATACAGATGGTGTTCAATGGCATCCAAAGGTGGGCACTGTGGTCCCCAGAGGTCTAGGGGAGGTGTGTTCGGATTGGTATGAGCTCATCACCTAAAATGGGCACATCTTTACTTGGCCATGATGGATTTTCAGAAAATGTGTCCCACTGTTCTCAGAAAGCCAGAATTTGTCACTCTAGTGTATTGTTTACACACCATTATGGAGAATGCCTACATTGATGTGGGGTGATTGGGCGGGGAGAGTGGGAACCTGGTATCCAGAAAATCGGGTAAGAGTTTAGAACAATTTGGGTCCTTATAAAAAGGAAAATTCAAAAAAAGATAATTGATAGGTCCCACTGCAGACCCACCAATTGGAGATATCTGGGAGCCAGATAAGGGAATATCTACTTTAAACAAGGTTCTCGGGTGATTCAAATTCAGTTAAAATTTATATCAGTCTATGGTCCCTTTTATTACATTGAAAAAAAAAACTTTTCAAAGTAAGATTGTGGGATCCAACCAGTTTCCAGTTGAAGATACCTCCACCCTTCAAACAAATTCATGCCAATTTGTTTTTTAGCAACTCATTGTCCAAAGACAAAATCTTTGAGTTCTAATTCTAGCACCTTACCTATTGTATGGGCAGGTTACTTTACCTTCTCAAACCTCACAGATGTGAGTCATGCATTAGGAGAGGTGTGAGTATAATACTGAAGCAGCTGCCAAAGACTGACATCCCACCTCACTCACTGGACTGTAGGAAGATCAAATGGCACATGGTGGGTGACAGGGCTCTGCAGACTTCAGGGTACTTTACAAATGCAAGGGATAATTAGAATGTAGTCACATTGGATTTCGCTTGGGGTTTTCAGTGGTGATGGTGGTGTTTTGGTTTTGAGATTGAAATATCTTCTTTATTATTAATAAAAAGCTAAGGTTTTATTAGGATATGATTGAGAAGTACAAAAACAATGAATTTTTAATACTAATTTCAGTATCAACTTTATCCACCAACCTTAGGCAACACTGGACAACGGCAGTCCTCTCCCAGTCAGGATGGGGTCTTTGCAGTCAAAATCACCACTTGGACCAAAGGGACCAGAATCCCAGCACCCTGAAGTCAAGCAGAGCCAAAGGAGAAAGGGGAATAGAAAGCACAGCTTAAATTTGCTGCTCCCACATTTACCAATCTGACCTCCCACGAAGAGGAGAATGTGAGGAGCCCAAGACTAAGTAATGTCCCTTCATTCAGATACATGAGGGATAATGTGATTATAATACTGAGGCAGCTCATAGGGAGGTTATCAGCTTTGCTCCAGAATTCCTCAATCTTTAATGCTGTGAATCCATTGTGCTTAGCCATTATGCCCACAGTGAGGCCAAAATGGTGGTGGCTCCTCAGAAAGGGTGTTCAGCTCCCACCCCAACAGCAGGTATTTCTCCACTGTTGACTATCCTGGACAGACAGAATGGGTTTGGGCCCCCTGTTTCTGAAATGAGTACCCTACAGTTCAATATATTCTTTAAGGCCTTTCTGTAGTTATGGCAGAAAACAGAGAACCTCTTCTGTTTTCCACCTCAAGTTACTTCCCACCACGTTGACCAAAGTAACCTACCAGAGGTTATCCAGTAAAATCAAAGGATATCACAAAGGCACTCCAGCAGCCCAGTGCCAAACAATAACACAAATCCACCGTCAACATCCACTTACCAGGGAGTCTGAGATCCCTCCTTACTAATTAAAATAAGTTCAGAAAAGTTAATACAAGAAATTAAAATCTGAAGTGAAACATCTCCACTCTCAATCAAGGTACAGTTTCAAAGACACTCAATTTCAATTTCTATTCTCTTTAATCTCAGCAAGATTTCTTAACAGCCTGGGTAAGGGAGGGGCTGGGGCTCTTTCTGTGGTAACCACGCAGGATGTCTTTCCTGGAATCGGCCTTAGGGTTCAGAGTAATTCAGCTCCAAGTCTCTCATGTGTTTCATTTTCTTCTCCTTTATTATTATTTTTAAAATTGTGGTAAGATACACTTAAAAATTTACCACCATAACCGTTTTTGAGTACACAGTTCATAATGTTAAGTACGTTCACATCATTGTGCAACCAATCTCTAGAACTGTTTTCATCTTGTAAAACTGAAACTGTGTCCCCATGAAACAATGACACCCCACTCCCTATTCCCCTAGCCTCTGAAAACTACCCTTGTACTCTCTGTTTCCATGAGTTTGACTACCCTAATTATCCCACATAAGTGTGATGGTGAGCTATTTATCTTTGAGTGTCTGGTTTATTTTACTTAGCATAATCTTCAGTATTCATCCATGTTGTAGCAAGTGCCAGAATTCTCTTCTTTTTTAAAGCTGAATGATATTCCCTTGTGTGCAAAGGCCACACTTTGTTTAATCCTTCATCTGTCAATGGACATGGGTGGGTCTGTCTTCTGACTGCTGTGAATAATGCTGCTATGAACATGGGACTCTGTGACTCACTTTTAATTTAAACTATCAAAAGTTTGAACAGCATAGGAGATTATCAAAGCACAATTTAGAGAATAATCTCATCCCCATTCCCAGAGAAGTAATTTAGGAAAAATCATGTTCCTAAAGACCAGTGTTATTCCCAAAAGCTATAACAGGTTCAGAATGGAAGATCTCCCTTGGAGGACTCTTCTAAAGGCAAATGGTTTTAACTGGAGAGCTCATCATTTATAACCAAGTGACCTAATCCCTGGAGAAATTAATTAAGGCATCTTGTTTACCATGTGTGGAGAGATGAGCTCACCGCTGTGAGCACTCTACTTTCTCAGAAACCAACACTTAAGACACGACTGCCTTAAATATATTTTGGCAGTTCAAAATAAAAACACAATTAAAAAGTTTTTCAAACAGGATTTATTTTCTGCCTAAGAAACTTAAAATTGTGGACACCGCTAATAAAGACCACCACTTCTGAGTGTGGTGTAACAAAGAGGAAAATACTGCCTGCTGCCATGTGGCTCGCCAACTGGATCGACACAAAAGGTCAGACGCACATGCACAGAACACAGAAAAGGGACTCAATCCACAGGAAGCAAGATATTGGGGGTGGGAGGATAATATAATTAAAATTTTAAGGCACAGTATCATTTAGAAAAATGTGGGTTGGGCTGCACATTGCTAAGCCTGGAAATCTGTTTTCTTTTCAAAACCCCATGAGCATGATGAGAAGAATACAGCTTTAAGAACTAAGATTCACCCCATCAGGCATTAATGGTGTCCAGAAAACTATGTGAACAATCTACTCAACATCCTTGAGACGTTTATATCTGTCTAGCTCAAAACCCGAGAGGGGGAACATTTTAATTTTCTCTTGTCTTTTGATAGCATATATACAAGATCTCTTAGCCCCCACAAAAAGCTCCAAATATCTTCTCTAGGACTTCAACTGCCTTAAAATATAGACTTGCATTTATCTTGGCCACATTAACGAGATCTGTTTGACCAATACATTTATATTTATGATGACTAAGGGCAGATTATGGTTGTTAAAACTTGTCCTTGGGACATGAAAACACTCCTCTGTCATTAATACATTTTGTAATATAAACTATGATGTCAGGTCAACGTAAAGGGTAAAAACGTTCCTAAAGTATGCACACATCATTTTTTAAAGCAATTGAGTCTGATGGAATAACAAAGGTCATCATAACAAACCATTACAGCCTTGGTCTTGGCAACTCTGGCCACAGAAGAACCTCCAAGAAACTATCATCATTCCTCCAATGTTATGGCATCCAGACGACAGGAATGGCTCGCAAATGAGTCATACGGGTTCAGATCCGCGGTAGCTATGTGAGCACTAGACGATCAATTATTCATGTGTTTACAAAGAGCTTTCCCAGTTGATGTTAACCAGAGCTGCTTGCAAAGAAGAGCTCTCCATCTGTCCTCAGCCATCCCAGGCCTCCGACTAACAAGCCGCTTTAATTGCTGGACGAGTCATCTGGAAGATGCCCCTCCCCTAGCCCCCGTAGACTCAATCTCTTTATTAGGTGTAAAAATATTAAGTGGAAATAATTATGACAATACTTTATTTGTAGTACTCTCAGGAAACCTGAAAGAGGGAGATCAATCCATGTGAGATTTGATGTAGATCAAACTGGACTTCATCTGGACTGGACTATGATAGACACAAGTCAGGAACTGGTGAAGAGCATTAAGAATGAAGGGAAAGAACCAGGGGCTGTGAGTTTCATGAGGGAGATAGATAGGAGAACAGTCTAGAATGTTCTGAGAAGGTAAGAGAGTGTGACTGAGGACCACCAAAAATGAATGCATTAAATTGGTCAGGAGCCGAACATGAGTGAACTGATCCACCCATCAAATATGGCCTTGGAAGAAGGTGAATGGGAAGACACTTCTCAGCCCTTGTTGTTACTTAACATATACCTACAGGCTTTCCAGGAAGACAAATAATGTGATTAGGGCAGCTTCTGTCTCTGAACATGGCCACAGAGCATGAGAGCCACATTGGGCCCCCGTCAGCTGTGTTTTAAGGGACCGTAAGGTTATAGTCAAAGCTATGGCCTGGATTTCTTCCTCTAAAGAAAGTGCAGTCAGAGCAGACAATTCCAAGAACATTGTGGTACCAAGACAGATTCTTCCTCTTACTTAAAATTGTGTAATTTAAGATGCTATCACAACTTACTGGTCCAGGTCTGGGAAAAGTGGTAGGAACAAACAATGTCGGTTCTTGCTGATATGAGAGCACACTTTAAAGAGCATATATGTGAATGGTTCAAACCCAAGGACCCTTGAGGTAATTTTGCTTTGGAGAGTGAGAAGTAACTCTAGCTGAGAGGCATTACAACAGAAAAGTAAAGCTAGCAGGCAGCTCTCTGGTGCATGAAGCATCCAGGAGTTATGCTCATCACTGAGCACTGTTGTTAGGCCAGGACTGGTGAGAACCTGGGTTCCTCTCTCACCCTGTCAGCCATGCATGCTGGCTTGGAAAATGAGCCCAAGCAAAGGGAATGCTTTTTCCTAAAGCCCACAATTGGAGAGCTGATCTAAAATACTTCCCATCCTTGTGCCCTGGTCAGGGGGAAGACAAGAGGAGCATTCTAAAAACAGCCCTCCTCCCTGGGGCGGGGTGGGGGGGGCACTTTAACTCCTCCAATCTTCCCATGAAGGCACTGGGATTCCTGGTTCCTGGCTGGTGCTCCTTCTAGAGTCAGAGGAGCCTTTCTCAGAAGATAGTCAAAAAGAGACTCGAGGGTAGGGAAGAATTATACACAAACAGTCATCTTTGTGCAGGTCTCTTTAGAGCCTTCAACAGGCTGTTCTGTCTTTAAGAGGAGTGAGGCGTGCTGAACTTCCCAAACTTATTGGCCGGCCCATGGAATTATTTGTTAGGAACATCCCTCCAGGCAAATAGTCAGAATTCCACAGACCAATACAACTTTGGGAAATGCAGTATTCAGCTGTGGTACTGACAACACACTTATCAGAGCTGGAATCAAGGTCGAGAGCCACTCTGGTCACTTTCAACAGACTGTAGCACAGATGGCCTCTGACTTAACAATGTCTCAATTTATGATTTTTTTGACTTGATGATGATGACAAAATGATGGGCATTCAGTAGACACTGTTGAATTTTGATCTTATCCTGGGCTGGCAACATGTGGTCTGATCCTGCCTCGGCCCACAACTCCCAGTCCGTCATGACCACCAATGTCACAGTGCTCTGTGTTGCTAAGCTAGGATGTTCAGTAGATTAGCTGTATTAAATGCATTTTTTACTTACAGTATTTTCTACTTACAGTGTGGTCTTATCTAGTTGTAACCCTCTCATAAGTTGAAGAGCATCTCTGTATCTCTGTATTTTCTGCCATCATGGATTAGTTTGTCACACTCTTGAAATTCTGGGGGCACCTGCCTGAAGCAGCAGCCTGCCATCACTGTTGATGGCAGCCTCATAGACGGTTTCCTAAAGTCACATTTGGCTAGTTTAGCTCACCTGACCACCCACACAGACTTTCACCAAATTGGCAGCCTTCCCATAAGCTCATCTTCTCACTCTGCCCCGTTATCAGTAGGAGAGGAGGGAAAGGGTGTTTCTCTGTCTGATTTCCATCAGGTGCACCTTGTTTTTTTTTCCCCCTATCCTGTGCCTAAGTTGCTACTAGGGGGCTGGAGGTGCAGCTCAGTGGTAGAGCACTTGCCTAGCATGTGTGAGGCTCTGAATTCAGTCCTCAGCACACACACACACACACACACACACACACACACACACAAACTACTTTGATCTCCTGGTTGCAAGTTTCTAACTTTTTCTAAGGAATGGCATGAAAGTGAGCCTCTAAGGCAGCCCACCCAGCGTCTTTCCCACATGTTCTTTTCAAGATCTCCAGCTTGGGGGGGTTTGTGACTCTCTGCAGTGATTGCCCCATAAAGTTGCCTCACAGGATGCAATGTCCATCCATCGAGGGTGGATATTTTGACCTGACCTCAAATGTCCATCACCTGCTATTGTAAGCTCTTTCTCAGGGTTTGTGATGGCCTACATTCCTGATCCTGTATTTTAAGTGGAATTGTGTGCAAATGTTCAGTATCCAAAATAAATGGGACATCAGTTTTGCTTTTGGCATTAACCAACTCATTAAATATAAAATAAACACAAGTAAATGGCTTTTAAATCTCACTGACAGAAAGCTTGGCAACTGCTCTGAGATCCTGGAGGTCACTGGAACCTCTCTCTTCAAACAGGCATTTTCCTCTTCTCTGGGGACTCCAAGGAGACTCTCACTAAGTGAGAAGAGAGAGTCTGGGTACCACCTTCCTTTTGAGGGTTGCCCTGCAATGTCAGCTACTCACCCAAGGCCCTGACCTGCCTAAAGTAGTTAGGACTCTGCCTAAAGTAGTTAGGCATGGAGAAGTGGATGTTAATCCTTCCAAGGTGGTAGAAATTCAGGTCTACGGCATTCATCTGACCAAGCTTATAAATACCTAGAAATATCACCGAACCAAGCTTAGGTTTCTGATTGGTCCCTCACTATCAGCTACTCTCAGAGAGCCAGTATCCATATAGCTTCCTAAATCCTGTGTACATTCTGCCATGAGATGTCAAGTCCCCTTCTCTTTGTCTCAGCCTACCTGTAGTTTCAGCATAAAAAGGATTTATTGGGGAAGGTGATGATACAGGTTATGTGGAAAATTGTTTTAATTCTCTACTTCAATCCAAAGTGTGCAGAAAACAAATTGCAACAATTTGCCCATCAGAAAATACACACTCGGAACTTCACCTAAGAGTTCAGCTAGACTGCAGTGATTACTGACCTTGTTTATAAAACCAAAGTGAAAAAATGCATAGCTTTTGGTAAAAAGCATGTTTACTCAACAACCCTTCCAAGATGGATGTTCACCTTGGATGCAGATTTTGAGCAAGTCCATTCTGTAGGAGACCCAGCCCTGACCAAGTATCAGAATCATTGGCTTTGCTGGTTCATGTCAGTCAGCTTTCAAAGTCTGACTTTGAACCAGAAGTTAGCAAGATCTGACTGAATCCAGTCAAAGTAGCTTCCATTCATTTACAGTTTATGGAACATTTCTCACGATTTAGTTAACTCCCTAATACAATCAAAGGACTCAATGACAATGACAGATATTCTCCATCAGATCTTAGAATTATATAATTCCATCAGTAGAAAAATTGGATTTTAAACAGAACACATAAATATGTTTTCTTTTTCTCCATTTGAAGGTTTTCAGTGATTTATTTCAAAACACACAGTCATTTTTCTTTCTCTTCACTGACTTCAGAACTTTCTCACCCTGGATTTGAGGAGGAGAATCCAATTAGGATTTGAGATCCAAGAGATCTCCAGAACCCTCCAGCATGCGTCTGAGTGCTTTCAGGAAGTCAAATTCCTACAGCAGAGAACTAAAGGGTACTTGGAATCTACCCTATTTCCTTTACAAAGAAATATTTTTAGATAGAAAACTAAATGAAATTCACTATCTTTCCAACATGGCCCGACTCTCACTGAACACCACTAGGTGATACCATCTTGTTTTAGGGACATTTATTTTTTCAATTACATTAAGAAGGGCATCATTACTTCCCTGGTCAAGGTCAAACCACATCTTAGATAGCATGAAGCCAGATGTCCTTCTTTCTGGTGACACTATTCACTTGTTTATGTTGGGAAAGATTTTGAATCATTAACGGGATGAATTTAATGTGTTGTTTAATGGCAAAACAATTTTTTTGCTCATCTTGCTTTTCACATGATTTAGACCACAGTTTGGTGGCTCTAGTGAATTAGTTTTCCACCCTGACATTTTTGCTATCCTGCAGCCAAAGTCACTGCGCGTGTTGAAGGATTCATCAAATCATCATAGACACTGTCTTAGAAGCAGTAGTACCATATCCAAGAAGATCTATGGAAAATCAGTGTCCTGTGTGCTTACTGCAGTAGGACTCTTTACATCCTTCAAAACCTAGCCTGAGAAGAAAAGGCTCCAGAAGGGCTCAAGAAGAAAAGGGAAGTTACATTTCAGGCCTTATTTGAGGAACTATTCAATTTCTACTGCATGCCCCGTATGTGGGGTGAACAAAACATTCCAGAACATTCTTCTGGCTCACCCACTCTTCCTCTTTCTCTTCTCTTTTCCTAAAGACTGAAGGTGAGATAATGGAGGTTAGCACTCTTGGTAGGTGAGTAGAGAAGAAGAAGCAGGAACTATTCAATAATCAAGGTTAAACAGGGAGTTTTCAGAATCCCATCATTTAAGTGACTTACTAAATCCTACTAAATTAACAAGACCATATTTATTTGCTTTGTGCACTGGGTCCTGTAAGCATTAAGACCTAAGGAAGTAAAAAAAAAAAAAGAAAGAAAAAAAAGGAATAAAAAAGAAAGAAAGAAAAACTTAGAAATCACAGATCAGAGAAAATGCTGCTGAGGTGTCATTTCTGAAGCACGATATAAGTCAAGAGTTGTCGTTTTTCAGGCCATTTCTTTTAAAGACATCAGATATTCCAAAACACGTGATTCCCATTACTCTCCCAGCAGGTACACAGGATCTCCCACTTTGACTGTCCCTGGATTGTCCAGAGCAAAATACTGTCCAAAGAGGGGTGATTTTCCATACAGCTTCTGTTCCGAAGGGTCACACTGGCGGTAACTGCAATAAAAGAAGAATCATGATGAGTCACAGCCAAACAGAACCATGTGCCCAAGCAGCATGTACTTCTGGACTGAAGTATTCAACCCCACACAGACCTGCCACGTTGCATGGGGAAAAGAGCACCATTCTCATCAGGTCTAACAGAACAGCGCCTCCTGGTGTTGGGCAGTGGGCAGCCAGCCCAGTGCACAATTGCAGGAGCAGTCTCCCCACAGCTCTCCTCTGCATTAATGTTTCCTTTCTCAGCATTAAGAGATTAAATACTCCATATGCCTAAACATACGGTATCATCTTTCATTTCCCTAGGCGTGTTTCCTCCCGACTCTATGTCTATAACTTGAACCATGATCCTGACAGTTCCTTGAACTTGGAGCTCTGAAGCCATTCTTTCTCCTCCTTTCTATGACACTAGTTGTCGAATCCTGAGGTTCTTCCTACACAACATCCACAACATCTGATCTTGCTTCCAGCAAACTCAGATTACATTAGAAGAGCAAACTTTTTTTTTTTTTTGATGCCATGGATTGAACAAAGCAGGACTTAATCACTGAGCCACATCCCCAGCCATTTTTTAATTTTTATTTTGAGTTAGGGTCTCACTAAGTTGCTTAGGGCCTCACTAAGTTGCTGAGGCTGGCTTTGAACTTGCAAACCTCCTGCTTTAGATTCCCAAGCCATAGGGGGCAATAACTTCTTCACCAACCTCTCTTTTTCATCCCCCAGCTTTAATCTATAGTTAGCACTGCACTATATAACTGTCTTAATTTTATTCTGGTCTTATCACTCCTAGCCTCCAAAACTTTCAAGACTTCCCTGTGCCCAAAGAATAACATTCCAACTCTTTAGCCTGGAATGCAGGACCCTCTACCTGGCACCAGGGAGTTTTTTCAAACCCAGTGCCTATTGCTCCTTATCTGCACTTAGTAGCAATCTGCTAGCAGATTCCTCAGTGCACTTTGACTTTGCTTTGTGTTTTACAACTCAGTGTCCCTCGGTGATTCCTATGGGATTTCCCTCCTTCACTTCTCCACGCATTAGAATAGTACCTTTTCCTCCAGGCCCAACTTAAATGCCACATCTCATAGTCAGGAATCCCACAAAACCCCAAGACAAGAATAATTTCACCCTCCTGATTTCTCCGCCCCTTGAGCCCTCTTGAGTCCAAGGCTCAAATGTCAGGGCACCAGTCTGTCTCTTCTGCAGAGTCTCTGGGGAGCAAGAATTATGTCCCACTCCCTGATCCTGCTCATACCCAATGCTGGGCTTCGTATGTCACCCACAATTATCTGTTGAAATTATAAGTGTATTGGTGATCACCTCTATTAAAGACACTATAAACATCTTTGTCAGGCAAAAAACTCAAGCAGCCCAGGCAGAATGCACATGAACAGATGTGTGGAAAAAATACATCCAGGCTTTCCCACATCCCTCTACCAGGAGAAAGATTTCCTTCACTTTCTTATTTACATCATTTTTTTATATTTAAAACATTATTATTGCAACCATAAACTTTATTCTGCCTTGCTTTAAAAAAGAATCTACTGCAACAATTTGGGGTATTTTTTTCTTTCTTTCTTTCTTTCTCCCCACCCCCACCCCCAAGCAGAAATGGCTAGTGAGAACCCAGAGTTAAAACTAGAAGCTCCTCTGGAGCTCCTCAGCTCCTCCCCCAGGCTGTAAACAACATGCCAGTGGGCACCATGTCTGTTTTGGAGTCCTGGCCCAGTGCCTGGTACATTGTAACCACTCAGAAAATTGTTGGCTGTACAAATGAATGAATGAATAAATAAATAAATGAATTATTACAGAGAGTTGCTGGTCCAAGACTGTCTTGCCTTGCCAAGAGTATTCCCTCACCCCATAACCTGCCATGGCCTAAGACCTGGAAACTCTAGGCATCTCTCCTGGCCTGCCTCTCTTTGGTCAGCAGACAACCCCGGGGACATTTTGGGATCTGTGCCTGTCTGAGAGTGGCATCTTTAGGATCAGGGCTGAGCAGTCACTTTTATGGCTTGGAAATTCTCATTTCCAATCTCTGTAGTCTGTGATCCTGGGCTCTGATTATCAGCCTTCTGTGAGCCACACATTCTTTACAAGTATGTGTGAAACACTCCACACATATTATCTCTTTGCTTTTTCTTTGCCTATGTAGAAATTTGAGTCCCTGTTTTATAAATGTGTCTCAGAGAAGTAACTGACTTGCCCAAGACCCCAGATCTAAGTGTCAGGCTGGGGCCACAGCTCAGGTCTGACTGACACCACAGTGAGGACTCTTGCCACCCAGATAAAAATCCCTGGTCACCATATTCCTCCTGAGTACCCTCACAAGCCTGAGAAGAACTAAGAGGTCTAAAAAGTTGCTCATCTACCAAAGGTTTAGCCACTAGTGCGTTTCACCTGCCCCTCCCCATCAACCACACAGGCGCACACTCACTCTCTCTCCAGGAAACTGAGGAGTGGAAATCCAAAAATAGCCACTGATGCTCCCAGCCCAGTCCCCTTAAACTGTGAAGCGTGGGATGAAGAGCAGGGGTGTAAAAGTGAAGCTCTGTTCATCTAGTTGACAGGTGGCAGTCCATTCTTCTATGTGGGAATAGAAACAGGAAAAGCTACAGGAATGGAAAGCTGGTTCTTGGCTGGTGCAGCCAGGACTTCCCCACACCTCAGTGGCAGGCATGGCTGCTGGGCTGCTGCGTTGCTGACTCTCATCTCCTCCTGCACCATTATCAGCAGCTGCTGCTGAGGCTGCCCCTGGATGTGGGGAGACTAACTGAGGTCACTAGCGACCCCTTGTGTGGATGATGAGGTACTGCAGTAGAAGCATTGTTCAACAGACTTGAAAAAGGTCCTGTCTCATACATGGATCTTCTATGACTTTTATTTAAAAATAAATAAAGAAACACACACACATATGCTTTATCTTTCAATAAATGTAAAACATAAAATTACACTAATAAGCAGAAAGCCTAAGACATGTTATTTAAACAGATGTCTTCAAGGCTAGATATATAGCTTAGTGATGGAGCTCTTGCCTAGCATGTATGAGGTGCTGGGTTCCAGCTCCAGCACTGAAAAAAAAGTCTTCATATTCACAGGAGTAGTGTGAATGTAAACACCTTGTTACCTGTAAAGTGCTGTGCACCAGTGAGAGCTGCTCATTGTTCACACGCCTGGTTTCCTAATTACTAGTCAATGACCAGACTACAACCACAGGTAGGTGTCTAGTCATTGATTAGTACCTTTCCTGGAGATCAGGAGGCCACAAGTCACTCTGGGCACAGGCCACTTCTGAGGACTCATGACCTAACTATGGCCAGTTCCATGAAGCAGTGTTATAAAGGCCCTTGGAGAGGTGCTGCATCAACACTGCCACCCAGAGGCTGGCGGTGGAACAGGATTAGGTTAAGTTTTATTTAAAGCAGCCTCCAAGATGGAGAGAAATGTCTTCTGTGTTTTTTTTTTTTTTTTTTTCTCTCAGCAGGTGTCAATTTTACAAATTAAGACTATCAGTGATCCTAGTGTGCATAGTCATTTTGCATGGTATTTTATTATCTATTTTAAAATTATATTCATTGCATTATTTCAGTTACCAGAATAAATATAAGTCCAGTTGTTGCAAATAAACCAACTGAACCCTCAAGAACCTAATAAATTTGTCAATATCAAAAATTAGTAGATGACAGGGGGACCTGGAAGTATCACCTTCTGCCTTTAGCTCTGCACAGCACAGCCCAACACAAATGGCTAGTGGCACATGTCACTACTGTCAGCAGATTCATGCATGCAGCAAAACTTTTTTGAGCACTTTTGCAGTAAATGTGCTATATTTTTTTCCACTAGGAGCAAGATGTTGTAGAAGCAACAATGACAGGCTCTACCTACTCCCTAAGTCCTGGGGATCAGTGTGTATATCACTCTCCCTTAAGAAAGAAAAGCATAAAATCCATTCTCATATTTTCCTGTGAGCAGACAAGCTTCCCTGTGCCTCTAACCTATGTTCATTCAGCAATGCAAAGTATATTTCATTCTCTTGCCCTGTTTTGTCCGGCTGGGCTGACTGTGGGGATGAACATCAGTAGGTCAGGCTAGGCAGGAGACAGCTCTCTCTGCTGAGCATTGGTAATCTAGCAGCACGCAGCACACATCCCTGTGCAGCAGCAACATGCAGAGACCGAGGCCAACAGCAGTGTGGCCGAGAGGCTGCTGCAGACACCACTGTGTGTGCTTCCCTTCCCAAGATTTATGCGATGTGCCAGGGCCTTTTTCTTCCCAATTTATGACCACCTGTCCTGAGAAGAACATAAATTACTACAGCCATGGCAATTTAAATCTCAGTAAGAGATAGGAGAAGACACCTAGGCTGGCTGCACTGTCTCCTGGGGTATTAGAAGCAATTAGGGCCGGATTGCTGGGCTGTATATAGAGCCTGCAAAAGATCAGGGGGTGTATGGGCTCCTCGTGACCCCCGTCTTTCTGCTTTCACTCTGTGTTTAGGGTCAATTATTCTCCTTCTATAAACATAGCCTCCCTATAGAGGGAGGGGCACTAAAGATTCAGAGATGCAGCCCAAATACATGGAGTGCTTTGAGAAGGCCATTTCTGCAAACACATAAACTCTCTAAATCCAAAGGGAAAGGATGTCTGATGCCAAGCAACATGTTAGGGAGGGAGAGAGAACAAGATGTATAAAACAGGCTGACAACCAATTCCCCAAGTCACTTGGCTTATTCACACACAGACTCATCCAGTTCCACCCCGTCTCCCTTATTTTATAAAGAATGGCCAGGGCCTGGCTGAAGGGGACGTGCTGATGACAACCATAGCCTGCTCTCCTCGCTCCCCTGCCAGGGCTATTTCCATTGCCCTACCCTGTCTTTTTTCTCTCTGGAGCTCCTTTGTGGCCACAGGGAATAGGAAGACTCAATTCTGGTCTGTTCTGACACTGAGTGAGCGCATTTCTAAGAATAGCTATAGTCCATCATCATGGCTTTCCAAAATTCTGCTCCTCCTCCCACAAATATTTTATAATTGACTCCCCTTATCCTCTGGAGATACATTCCAAGACCCCCAGTGGATTTCTGTAAATGTGCATAGTACTGAATCCCACGTGCGCTGTTTTTTCTCATACATACATATCTAAGATAAAGTTAATTTACAAATTAGGCACAATAAAAGAGTAACAACAATAATAGAACAATTAAAACAATATACCATAATAAGAGTTACTTAAACTTATGAATTCCTTATTTCTAGAATTTTCCATTTAATATTTTCATGCCACAGTTGACCACAGGTAACTAAAACCATAGAAACAAAACTGCAGATAAGTGTGGACTACTGTATCAGAAGAATTCTCAAACAGGCAAACAAGTTGATGTTTACAATGAACACTATTTACTAACTGTGTGGATTTTACATTTAACATTTTATTATATTTCCTCTCTCACATGTTTATCCATCAGTCCACTGGGTTTTGTTTTGTTTTGTTTTTTGCATTTCCAAATATGTTGAAAATATCAATACACTTAGCTTCTAAATAATTCAGCTTGCACAACTTAGAAATTTATTTGCTGTTTTGTTTTGTTGGCAAAATGTACATATTGTGAAATGTATCAATCTTAAATGTTCCATAATATTAACTTTTTATGTAAAAGTAATTAATGTTGCTTACGTGTTGAAAAATATATAACATCTCTCAACATGATGGTATTTACCTTAGGGTGTCTATATGCTCCTTTTTGAATGTTCCTGAAAACTCAGGCCCATGCACCCCCTGATCTTTTGCAGGCTCTATATGCATAATTCTAATACTAAAAGAATACCCCCACTGCCATGTTGGTTTTACACCCTGTCCACCTTGTATCTACTCACGTACATTGATATATTTTTGAAAATCAAATAAGCAAAACAAAGAAGTAAATGCTACATATGCAATTTTATAATCAGTTTTGCAAAATTAAGTTATCTTGGTCTTTGTATAAAATTTAAAACTATTCTCTGTAATTGTGTCTTTCATGTAAAAATTTTTTTCTTATAAAATACTAAAATAAACATTAAAGTAGAAAGGATAATGCAATGAACCCCCACATAATTCACCCGAATTTTATTTACCAACATTTTGATATTTTTTTTCATATCTTCATATATCTTTTTTTTTTGCTAAAATAAAGTAGAGCAGATCCCAGACATCACTCTACTTCATTTCGTATACTACTTCATATACACTTCCACAGACTTTTCTAAATTATATTAACATTTGGGTTGGAGGTGTTGCTCAGTGGTAGAGCACTTGCCTAGCATGCACAAGGCCCTGGGTTCCAACCCCAGCACCACAAACAAATAAACAAATAAATATATTAATATTTCTTTCATAAGCACAATGCCTTTATGACACCTAACAAACTGATGTTATCTAATAATTGGTCCATAATAAGGATTGCCAAAATGTTCATTTGAATCATGAATTTCTAAACAAAAAAAATAAGATGATTCCTACCAGCACACATCCTGTAACCAAAGCACCAGCTTCCCATGTGCCAAGCCATCAGGACCATGTAGCTTCAAGGTGTGGTGTTCTCACTGATTCCTCTTGTAAATATTTAGCAATAAATATCACTTCCGCCCCAGGCACCCAAACCCACGGATGAAACCCCATCTGCCTAGTTCTACCTCTTGAGCGTTTCCAGCGGCTCCTTCCTGCTCATGATGCCAGTGTCCGGGTCCACTGTGGTTAGCATGCACCTGGACACAGACACACACAGAATCATACAGAGACAAAGCAAAACAGACCTTCACCTAAAGCAATCCCTCCCTATCGCCACAGGACAGGAAAGAGCCTTACCTGGAACAAGCCATCACCCTTTTCAGTTCCACATCCCCAATAAGAAGTTCATTCCAAGAATCCTAGGAGCAAAAGCACAATTTCTATAAATCCTCACCCAGACAGACTGCGTGGAGACTTCCCAGTGTTGACCCCTAATAACAACACTTACATAAAAAATGGCTGACTTATCTCAGTCCTGAGATAAGATAACTGCTACCCACGCAGTTTTATGTTCCTTCTCCCTCTGCCTTTGATGTCAGTTCATTCACCTGAGAAGAAATGTTTCTCTCAACTCACTTGTAAAACTGACATAGAAACTCACCTCCTTCAGATCTCTTTGATCAATCTCACTTGACTCTTGGGGGTTGGGGAATGGAGATCTGTTGAGAGGGAACTACCGATTACTCTGAGTTGTACCAAATCCTTCATGCATGCTTAAGGCTATGTGAATTAAGCCCCTTAAGTCACAGCATATATGTACCCTGTATTTCTCCTGAGTAGATAGGAAGATATCAAAGGCAGGACCTTATTTCTCATTGATCTCCACTGGCACATTTACATAGTGCTCCAGCTACTCCTTCCAGCTGAGACAGCTTCTCAGACACTGGCCTGTGAGTTGGGCAAGTGAAGTCCAGTTTTCAAGACAAATCAAGTCAATGGACTGAGATCTTCAAATCTATCAAGGAGACAGGGCATACACAGATGAAAAGTTAAAGATCAATAAGTACTCTTTTTAAAATTTCCAGAAACTCAAGAAAAAGCCTGATAAGGCAGAATGCTGTGTGTTGATTTCACTGTGCAGGCAACAATCGTTCTGGGGGTTTAGAGGAATACGCTCCAGGCTGATCTGGCGAGGGAAAAGTTTTATGAACTAGGTGAAATGGGATCTGAGTTTTATTTTATTTTTTTGAACCCAACCCATCAGATCTACCCCTAGAGTTGGCTGGGGAGGCTGATGGTGGCTCTGGAGAAAATAGGGAATGCACAGGGAAAGGATGTGATTACAAGGGATCCTCCTCTCCTCTCAATTCACCTCAGAGAGACAGTTACTCCATTCAGTCTCTTGACATTGTCATACTGGAAATTCACTTTTCTCAGCTGACTCAGTAGAAGTTAGCGCTAGTTCCTCAGAGCCAGGATATTTCTGCTTTGAGTAGCACTTCTTTTTATTTGTCCACTTTGCCTGTTGGAAAGTACCTCCAAACTCTAGCGTACTCAAGGCTCTGGCCAAACATCTTATAATAGAGATGTGGCCTCCTGGCAGGTAGGGTCAGTGACTCTGCAGACATGGGCACAGCAGGTAGGCACGGCACCACAGGCCTGGCTAGTGCATCCTGATGGGCACTGGTGTCTCCTGGGAGAGGGACTCAGAGAATCCCCCATAAAAGAGAGTTAGCCTTTGCCCTGAAGAACTGGATCTCCCTAGATCAGTCATATGTACATCCCTAGTCTTTTGTGCCTAAAGTAGGAAAGGTCTAAATTTTCTGGCTTAAAGGCAGGATTTGAAATGTATATGCCATTTATTTTACAGATTGTCTGATATTTCCTCATGATTAAATTTAGACCAGGCGTTTTTGTTTGTTTGTTACTATTTTATTTTGTTTGTTTTTTCAATGCTGGGGATTGAACCCAGGGCTTCGTACGTGCTAGGAAGGTGCTTGATCTGAGTTCTCGAGGGAGGAAAGGTGAGGGGACTCCAGCCAGCGAGAGCAGTAGGAGAAAGAAGGACACTGAGGAGCCCAAGGGCATGGGATTATAGTCCTGACCTTCCACCTTTGGAGAGAAGTGTTGGCCTCCTGAGGGCTGGGAACAAAGATATAAAACACACTCCCTGGAATTTTACTTCTGATAGTGTGTATTACTCATGATATGTGTATTGTAGGCTTTTGTTTTTCTTTGCTTTAAATCATAAAATGGGTATGCTTTGAACAGACTAGAAAATGGCAGAGGCTACCAGCAGCCTCAGCCTGTGATTATTTATCCACTAGGGGGCACTGTGGCCATAAAAACGCTTTTTTTTTTTTTTTTTTTAAAGGAGAGAAATGAGGAGTGCTTTTAGAGATAATTATAAATTAGAGAAATATTTCCAGGGCACCCTCTACATGAAATAAAAAACATCAGGGATTGAGACACAGAAAAATAAGGTAAAAATTCCACTGTAAGCAAATTATCTACTTACCCAATGTGAGGAAAAGAAGAAAACTAGTCTGTTGAACTCACACTATAGCCCATGAAAGTAAAACAGGTCACACTACTGGAGGTGATCAGTTCAAACAGGAAAAGTCCCAGTATGGGAGAGGTGGAGACACAGCAGAGCATGGCCTGGGCCTGACCACTGGTGAGATTTTCACAGGGGAGGTAGCTTCACTGGAGTTTTAAAGGGGACTGGGACAAGAGTCTAGGTGACCAGAAGTCAGGAGAATACATACTAGGTTCTAGACCCAGTGTGCATTTTTTGGAGTTTTTTATTGGAAATAAAGTCAGGAAAGAAAATTGTGGTGAAATTATCAAAGAACAATGGGAAGTTTGGACCTTTTGAGAAATGGGGAGCCACTGAAGGCTCTTGAGCAATGAAGGCTTTTGTGATGTTTTGTCACAAACTTTAGAGGGGAAGAGCTCATACTGGTGCTATGGGAGGCCTGGCTGTGGCAACAGGGGCTGGGGAGCAACAGTGTAGAGGGAGCCTTCAAGGGCAACACTTAAGCTCCAAATCTGAGTCAAAGAAAGAATGTGGCACCCTTGACAGAAATTGCAAGGTCAAGAAGAAGAGTATGAGTGGGTGCTGGGAATCTGGGAACACATAAGCACCTGCTAAGTCAATAGAGCCCAACACTGCCGAGGAGCTGAGGGTTGGTCCTGCAGGGTGATAGTAATCTTCATATCTAATGAAGACACCTACAGGCCAACAAGAGGTGGCACTGGAAGGGTTTTAGGGCAACAATCCCTCCAGTTCCTCATCTAGCATCCATATTATAAATACCCATCACCCCCAAGGGAGTGATAATTCTCAAAGGCCTCAGACCTTGAATTCCCTCCTTGCAAACAGTGCATCTGTCTCACCCACACTCATAGCTTCCATAAGAGTCTGCTCTTATTAGGTGCTCAATAAATCTAAATGCTGAATTATTGTATAGTCAACAAATAACGCACCTTTTGGAATAATCTAATACAATGCCAAAGACTCTCATATCTTGAAAAAAAAAAGAGTTAAATCCAAGGAAAGAGTCAAGGCAAAGCACTACTTCTGCATAAACACCACATCCTGAAATTACAATATTGGGCCTGAAGTTAGATGCTTTAACTTTCTTCTCCAGCCTGGAGTTGAGATCCTCCAGGGATGCCTCAGAGAGGACCAAGAAAGGGCTGGCATCTGAGTAGGCAACCTGAAAAGGAGACAGGCATCCTTATAATGTGTGTCACAGAAGCATCTCAGAAGTTATACTGTCTAGTGCCTGGAAACCCCTTTCTCTACATATGTACACACACACTATCACACTAATGCACAATCTTTCCAAGTGTTTTTCTAGTTCTTTTCATAGAAAGTCACAGCAAAGCAAAACCTCAACTAGCTTTGCAGAATTGCATGGTGGCCTGAAGAAAGCGTGGAATCCTAGAACTGCCACTAAGCATATGCCATTAGGGACATCACTTCACCTTCTAAGCCTTCAATATTTCCAGTGTTTATTAAGGTAGGCCATAGGTTTGATGGCCTCGTTACGTTTGACAAAATGTTCACTGATTGCATAGATACCTGTGTTTCATGCAACCTGAAAATTAATGTTAAATATATATATATATATTTTTTAATGTTGAGAATAGTATGTGATGCTACCAACCCTACTTTCATAATGAATCCCTACAGCCTTATTCCCTTGAGAATCTGTCTGATCATTTGAAGTCTGCAGATCCCCATACCCACAGCAACTTGCATGACTGTAACATATGGTTGCAAACAAACTTTAAAATTTTGGACTCTGAGAAGTTACAGAATGAATGAAAAAGATACTGATGGAGAATGTTTTGAACCACTACTAGCATCAGATGCTTACACAAATAGGAAAGTAGATGCTCATGGGCAAAAATGCAAGAGTCCTCCAAAACAAGAAACAGAATACTGTTCTCTCGGGAAGGGATACCTTTCTGCCTTTTGCTTGGGATCTGAGCGGCCTAGAGTCTGCCTGGTAAAATGACAGTGCTTAGTCCATCAAAGATGCCACTGGTGTCTCAAGGGATGAGCAGCTGCTCTCTACCCACAGAGCAAGCTTCGCCTTTCACCTGGTCTGTGGGTCGGAATGGGTCCTCGATTTGGTGAGAATTTCTTGGTTGCATGCGGGGCTCGAAGTGCACCAGGCGGTAGGACTGTGTCTTCAGGAAGCTGGTTATCCATTGAGCTGCGGCATCCCCACAGTCCCTACCCTGGATCTCCAGGCCATGCACTCTGCACAGGGGACAGGGCAAAGAGCGGGCATAGATTTGAAGATTTGAGCACCCTGACACACTATGTCCAAGATATATCAGAAGAGCTGCAATATCCCAGCTGCTGTATTGCTATGGTTCTTTCATTGTCAGAGAACCTCCTTTTAGCCCAGCCCTGCCTCGCCATTGTGTAAGCCTAAATGAAAAAGAAAGCACATTGTAAACCTTGCTTTTCCTGATTGTAAAACTGACTGATGCATACTTATATTTCCCTACCTGGATGCAATGCAAGGAAGATGAAACGCAGTAGTATTTAAAATGTACCCAGCTGGACGTAGCATATACACTGTATTCCCAGTGACTCAGGAAGCTGAGGCAAGGGGATTGCAAATTTTAGCTAGCTTATGCAATTTAGCGAGACCCTGTCTCAATAAATAAATAAACAAACAAACAAACAGGTCTGGGCATGTGACTCAGTGGTAGAGCATCCCTGGGTTTAATCCCCAGTACTACCAAAAAAAAAAAAAAAGTATACTGAGTCCCCAGAAGAAAACTAGGGTATCAGTCTAAAGTAAATTTATAATTGCTGTAAAATCTGGTTCACCCAGCTGAAGAGCAACCAAAAATATTTATTAACATTCATGAGTAATAGCAATACTTGGCCAGTACATGATACTAAAACTAAATGTAGTAACATATATGAAAATGGTCTATACAATTAAAAAATTATTGATAACATTAAAAATCAACTTGGATTTGTTGCCAGCAATAACTTTGAAGGTTTGAAGTAATTCCTTCCTTATACATAGCTATGTGCAGGACTGTGAGGAGGTATGAATTTCTCAGCTGCCAGAGGAAATAAATGCTATAGTATAGGCCAGGTTTCCCAAAGTGAGGCACCACTAATAACCATTGTAGGAGTTCAAGATAACCGTAGGTGCCACATGGGAAGATCCTTAAATTAATGGTGAACTGCACAGAAAGAAAGCAATTCTCTTCAGCTTAGTGATGTCTATAACTTTTAGTAACACTTGATAATCATCTCATTTAATGAAGAAAGAACAAACTGCAGGTCCAGAGACTTCTATAAGCAATGGTTTCTAGTTAGAATTTAGTAATATTTGCTTGTTCCATATTAGCTGTAGTAACTCAATCTTTGCTTCCAGCCAGGTGCAGTGGCACATTCCTGTAATCCCAGTGGCTTGGGAGGCCAAGGCAGCAGGATTTCAAGTTCAAATACAGCCTCAGCAACTTAGTGAGACCCTAAGCAACTTAGCAAGACCCTGTCCTTAAATAAAATATAAAAAGAGCTGGGGATATAGCTCAGTGGGTAAGCACCCCTGAGTTCAATCCCTCATACCAAAAAAAAAAAAAAAAATTGCTTCTATATCCGAAAAATTATATAGGTAGCTATTTGCTTCCTTTTGAAATAAATGTGTCTAAGGTTTTTTAGGTTTTCTTTTGTTTCTGGGGAACTGGAGATTGAATCCAAGGGTACTCTACCACTGAATCACATCTCCAGTCTCTTTTATTTTTATTTTTTTATTTTGAGATAGGGTCTTGCTAAGTCTTGACCTTGAAATTGCAATCCTCCTGCCCAGATGAATAATTCTTTTAAAAAAAGATGAATCAATGTAAAGAGAACTATTAAGGAAATAAAGATATAGATATTTTGTTGTCTGGCCTAAATCATGATCATATTCTGCAAATGCTTCAAGTTTGGGAAAGCATAGACAGGTAGATCTAATTAGGTATTCTCTTTCCACAAATGACTTGCTCCAGGACCTTGGTGACATTTACTTATCCTGAGACTCAATTTCTTCACCTATAAAATGGGGATTTAAAAAAAAACTTAGTTGTGAAGATTAAGGACAATTTAAAAGAAGTCCCAAAACAATTCTTAGGTTTGGAACATGTTCAGTAGATGGTAACATTTATTCTAGCACTACCTCTCAGTTTTTTTAAGTTATCTTATGAATTTATTTCATGAAGTAAATATTTAATCAAACAAAGCATCTATTCTCTAATAATAACATACAAATGAATTTCTATATTGTAAAACAAATTGAGTACAGTATCCTATGTTTTTATATAATTTTATATAATTGCTCTGTATATAAAGTGGGGAATGATTACTTACAGTGCCTTGGATCACTATAACAAACAGTGAGATTAGTTGCATTTAGAGTTTGCATGAATTTTTTAAAACTTTTTAACAGAAGTGTGATATTCATATAGAGATAGGTACTGCCATTCCATGTAAGTTGATGCCTTTTCACATACTTCTATTACACCTGTCCTTAGCTGACCTCCTGAGAGTCAGAGGGCTGAGTACACACTCAGGCCCTATGAAGAATAAGACTGTTTTATCAGCAAAGACCAAGAGTGTCTGCCTGACTCTTTTCTGGATCGAGATAAAGAATAAATATAATGAATAAAAGAAACATACCAAAACTCATATATCCAAACTGTCATTACCTTTTTAAAGTAATCACCTTCAGAAGGAGCATAATCATTCCAACCTAAAATTAATCATATCTACTTACTACTTCTTTTAAGTCTACTTCATTGTTTAAACTGAGCAATAATCCTACCTGGTTTGATGACCTTCTTATTCATAGGACTCATCTTTGAATGACTTTTCTGATTTTTCCATAAATTGAATCCACAGTAAGAGGGTGAAGATTTTCACTACTGAGTGTGTGCATATGTATGTGGTTTAATGTCTAATATGTGAATTTTGGAAGCATCTTGAATAACAGCAGTTCTACCCAAATCTGTATATACAGACAGCCTTGAAGGTCACTTTCTTGTTGGATGCCTCTTTGTTGGTGTCTGTGCAAAAAAAAATGTCAGCCTCCTTCCCCAAAGTCAAACCTTACCAGACCTCCCCACCACCGCCACTGAGGCTTCCTCTTGGTCCTGCCATTCAGAAGCCAAGCCTAGGGCTCTCCTCTGTTGCATTTATGGGATTTATGGGTGGGTAGAGGAGCAGGGAACAGAAGATGCAGTTATGGTTTGGTTGTGAGGCATCCTGTGTTTATACAGGAAAGTTCAGAGGTAAAGTGATGGGATTGTGAGGGTTGTAACCTAATAGGTCCATTCTAGTTTGAATGACTAAGTGGTAACTGTAGACACATGTGGCATAGCTAGTGGAGGTGGTCACTGGGGACATGCTCTGGATGGGCTCATCTTCCCTGTGGCCCCTTCCCCACTCCCTTTCTGCTTCCTGACCCCACCAACAAGAGATAAGCAGCTTTCCTCCACTGGACCCTTCCCTGTGATGTGCTGCTTGACCTTGGGTCCTAAGCAAGGGAGTCAACCATCTATGGGCTGAAACCATGAGCCCCAAGTGAACTTTTCCTCTTCTAAGTTGTTCTTGTGGGGTATTTTGGTCACAGCAGATGCAAAAGCTGATTAAAACAGCTGCTTAGACTCCTCAGGCAATTGTTATATTTTTACTGAGTTAGAGCATTTGCATCTATTTTGGGTCATTTTGTAAACACCTCACCTCATGACTCCACACTTATTTACATTGCAACTTCTATGTATAGGTCCCGAGTTCTGGTTCATAATCACTCAAAACTTGGGGAAAATTTGTTGTCTTCTTCCTGCTTATCACATTTCTCCTCAGTTGTAAGCAGCCACAATTGTGCTCTTAGATCCAGCGTTCCCATTCACATGTTCTCTCAGAGAATCCAATCAATTAAAAAAAGAGAGAGAGAGAGAAAAGTTCCCAATGTTCCTAAAATCTCGAGCCACCGAGATTATAGGTGTGCATCACTGTGCCCAGCCTCTAATTGCACTCTAATAAATATGTTTAGAAACATTGTGACTTTTTTTAAAAAAGTTATTTGTTCTTTTTAGTTATACATGACATATCATACATACGTGGAGTAAAATTTCTCATTCTTGTGGTTGTACATGATGTGAAGTTACACTGGTCATATAAAACATAGGAAGACCCCAACTTCAAAGACAGCCTCAGCAACTTAGTGACGCCCTCCATAACTTAGCAAGACATTGTTTCTAAATAAAATACAATAAAAAGGGTTGGGGATGTGGCTCAGTGGTTGAGCGCCCCTGGGTTCAATCCCCAATACCAAAAAAAGAAAACAGAATGCAATTAGATATGTTCATAAATTAATGATTAAACAAGTTAGTAAAGCCTTTCTGCAAACCAACTTAGCAACATGTATCAAAAATCTGTAGGATCCATACTCTTTTTCCAAACAAAACTACTGCTAGTAGTTTTTCCCTAAGTAAATAATAAAAGATATGAACCAAGTCTAATGTCAAGGTATTCCTCACATTCTTCTTTATACCTGAAAAAAAAGTGGTAAATCATTCAAATGTTTAAACATGGGGACATGTTAAAATGCATTAGTGAACACCCACAGAATAAAATAGTATGCCAACATGAAAAATGGCATTTTTTTGAAGATTTTTTAATGACATGAAAAAATACTCACTATGTCAACTTAAGTATATAAGCAGAATTCAAGACTGGCTTTATAATATTATGTAAATATGATTTTAAAAGTAGTTGCCAAGGGGACCATAAAGAAAATATGCTAAAATATTAATTATGGTTATCTCACATAGTTTTTGTTCTCTTCCTCTTTTTTTTGGCATTTTCCAATTTGTCAACAACAGATATGTATTTTATAATCAGAAAAGCCATACAGTAAAAACATATTGCTATGTTTAAGACTAAGATATTATAGGAGCTATATCAGTATTGCATTTTATGAACTTTGCAGAGTCCTTAAGACATTTTTCAGCTATGTTTTTTGGTGTAGTATTACATCTTCTGATAGACTAAGGTCTACATTTAACATTTGCATTACATTTGAATTTGAAATGCAGAAACTATAACAGGAGTATAATTGAAGTAAACATTAATTTTCCCATAATGGGATTAAAAAACTCTGGATATGATCTCTTAGAGACAAATCCAATTTTCACAGGATGATTGCTTCCCTCCAGCTCTTTGATGTTGAGAACAGAACATCTATACAGAGCATGCTCCTGGACTGAATGTCCACACAGACTACTGGGAAGTTAATGCCAGATCACTCTTCTGGTTGCAGCTGTTCCTTTCTATTTTAGAACTCCCTTTCATTAGAACTAAACATCATAGTACTAATATGATAGTGTATTATCGTGGTCATTTGCAACTTCTTTCTGAACTCAGTTTTACCATATATCCAGATTTTCCAAACCATGTAAGGAGAGTCTTAAGACAATACATAGCTATATCTCAACCTCACTTTTTCCAGGACCCTCTCTCCACCTGCCACCACCCCATTCCTGTCCATCTTTTATTCTTCTCTTGGAGACACATTAACATGTGTTTGTTCCCACTGTTTCCTACAGGGAACTTTCGCATCTCTCAACCCAACACAAGCTTCTGAAGCTGTCTCCATGCTTCTAATCTGTTAGATTTACATGGTGCTGAGGACTTAGCCCTGCATAAAGTACATCGGCAATCAATGGTTAATTATTAATAACATTTTTAATAATTAAAAATTATAAAAAATGTTATTTTAAACATTAAAATTATTTTAAAAATGTTTAAAAATTAAACGAGAGGATTCCCTCTCTTGTTTACTTTTTCCCAAAATAGCATGTATATTTATTTATTAAGGCAAAGGCTAAGACCTGCCCTGCCCTTACCTGCACTTGCGCACAGCATTTGTGGTGGGTATTTTGATGGGCAGCAGTAGATCCTTCATGCAGGCTGCACTCAGAGTCAGAGTCTCACTGTCACAGGTCAGGGAAATCAGGACCAAGCGAGGTTCCTGTCGAGCAGTAACCATGTTCCCATCTTCATTGATCACAAGCCAAAACCTGACATTTTCAAAACACAGGATATGTGTGGATCACCATGACAGGAAGCCAGTCTCTACAAGAGCTGCAATTATACACAGTCATTGTTGATTTCCTCCCTGTAAACCTGGGATGTGTGAATTTGCATGTGTCTATCTGTGTGTAACCAACTCAGCAGCAAGCAAGACTGAGCCTATCAGCTAATTTCGAAGGGATGAATAATTACTCAAGCACCCAGTATAGTGTGCAGAACATTTTGAGCTCCTTGATGGCACAAAAATCAAAGATGCTAATTGTATTTTCATCTCAATTGTCATCTCAGTTGCTGATCACTTTCATTAAACATGCCCCAAGGAGATGATGGGAATCTATTTCTCTAGAAGATTGGAAGGAAACAAGAAAGTACTGTGCTGGCACCTAGTAGGAAATGGGCTCTCAGCAACAGAAAGACTGTTCCTAATATTGTTCACAGCGCATAGAGTTCAGCTGAGCACTTGCAATTTGCCTTGCCAATTCCACCCCCAATCTTGTTTTTTAACTTAATTTCAATATTCAGTGCTGTGAATTCTGCAATTTGCTAAAAGGTTTATTGTCAATCTGGACAATATTTTTCCTGGCTCAGTACTCCTGGTTTTTAAATACTTCCTGGAAAAAGATAAATGGTGAAATACAGAGTACTACTTCCAAAAAAAGAACAACACATTTGTGTAGGTTCACTACTAAAGAAGCAAAACCTATTGGTATTTTGGTCATTTCAGCATGCACTGATCAAATGATTACAATTACAGAAGTGAGCTTGTGCTTTGGGGGTCCTCAGACATGAGGAAAAATAGCAAATATTTTAGATCATTGAAAATATTTCTTGTATCACCTCCAGCAGGCTATCATGGTTGAACTATTTGACTACACCAGGAAATATGGTCAGCATAAGCCCTTTCCCTAACTGCTTTTTAATCAGCCCTTCATCCTACATAGTCTGAACCCTGCCCTGTCTCAAATCCTTGGGATAACACACGAGTATTCTCTCTAGGAATCCTTCCTGATAGTAACAACAGTTTAATCATTCTAAAGTACAAGTCTGATCTTTGTATCCTCTCATCGAAAATCCCTACTTTCAGGATAAAATTCTAACTGTCAAGTAAAGCATGCAAGTCCTTATAATCCAACTGCTTTCCTGCTGTTCTTACCTCCCCATGCATTTACAGACACTGGCATTTTTAAAATATGCTTTTAATGGCAGTGAAACACATATGGCATAAATACCCATCATATTCCTATGTGCAGACCCAAAAGAATTGAAAACAAGGTGTCACACAGACACTTGCTCATGGATGTCCATCATAGCAGTATTCCAATGTCATAAGGTATTAATAACTCCAGTCTCCATCAATGGGAAAAAAAATTTAATGTGATTCTAACCATTTTGACCATCCTAATCATTTTGAAGTGCATAATTTAGTGGCATTAAGTACATTCACAATGTTGTGTGACCATTACAGCTCTTTCCAAAACTTTTTCATCATCCCAAACAGAAATTCTGTACCCACTAATGCAATAGCTCTCCATGCTTGCCCTCCCTCATTTTCCAGTAACCCCTAATCCCCTTTCTGCTTCTATGACTCTTCTAGATATTTCATATAACTGGAATCATGCAACATTTGTGCTTTCATGTCATGCTTATCTGAATTAGCATTATGTTTTCAATATCTATCCATGTTATGGCGTGTAACAGAACACTCCTTGTCATGGCTTATTGATATTCTACTGGATGTATAAGCCACATTTCATTTTTCCATCCATCCACCAACAGACACTTGGGTTAATTCTACTTTTTAGCTATTGTGAATAATGCTACCATGGACATCCGACATTCAATGTTCTAGAGAATATTTGTCATGTTCTAGTCTCTATTTTCAGTTCCTTTGGGCAAATACCTCAGAGTATGCCAGTCTTACCCCAGCATGTCCTCTCAAGCCAAGATTTTTTTTTTTTTTAATTTCCTCCCTGTAAAGTATTCCTCTCCTAACTTACTTGCATGGAAAGTTCCTAATCATTTTCCAATTTTCAGCTTAAGACATTCCTTACTCTGTGAAGTCCCTGGGGTGCACCTCCAACAGCTCCTTCCTGTGTGTTCCCTTACATTTGTCACAACCCCCACTGAGTTAATTGTCACCTAGGACTGTAAGCTTTTGCTGGTTTTTCTTGATGGCACTTTCTAGGAGTATATGATAGCAAACAAAAAGAATTTACCATAGTGTCATTATAAATATATTAAATGCCAGCTTTTATTGTCTTCTATTATAATATGAGCTTAAATGTTTTCTGAATTGATACGGTAGTAAAATTACAATGCCCTTTGACTCTGGGGTCTACAAAAACAAATTAATTATTGCCTGTATTCTTGATGATTGCCATTCTGACTGGAGTAAGATGAAATCTTAGAGTAGTTTTGATTTGCAGTTCTCTAATTGCTAGAGATGTCAAACATTTTTTTCATATATTTGGTTTTTTTTAATTAATTGATTGTATTTTTTAAATACATGTATTTCTTCTTCTGTGAAGTGTCTGTTCAGTTCCCTAGCCCATTTATTGATTGGGTTATTTGGTTTTTTGGTGTTAACTTTTTTGAGCTCTTTATATATCCTAGAGATTAGTGCTTTATCTGAGGTGCATGTGGTAAAGATTTTTTCCCATTCTGTAGGCTCTCTCTTCATGATATTCATTGTTTCTTTTGCTGAGAAGAAGGTTTTTAGTTTAAATTCACTCCTTTTATTGATTCTTGATTTTACTTCTTTCACTTTAGGGGTCTTGTTAAGGAAGTCAGATCCTAGGCCGATGTGGTGAAGATTTGGGCCTACTTTTTCTTCTAGTAAGTGCAGGGTTTCTGTTCTAGTGCCTAAGTTTTGATCCACTTTGAGTTGAGTTTAGAGCAGGGTGAAGGATAGAGGTTTAATTTCATTTTGTTACATGTGTCTTTCCATTTTTTCCAGCACCATTTGTTCAATAGGCTGTCTTTTCTCCAGTGAATGTATTTGTGTGGGTTTGTCTCTATGTCTTCTATTCTGTATCATTGGTCTATGTGTCTGTTTCAGTGCCAATACCATGCCGTTTTATACAGGCAACAATAAATGTTGGCAAGGATGTGGGGGGAAAAGGTACACGCATACATTGCTGGTTGGAGTGCAAATTGGTGCAACCACTATGAAAAACACTATAGAGATTCCTCAGAAAACTCGGAATGGAACTACCATTTGACCCAGCTAGCCCACTCTTCAGTTTATACACAATGGACTTAAAATCAGCATACTACAGTAACACGGACATTTAAGTGTTTATAGCAGTTCAATTCACAATAGCTAAACTATAGAAACAACCTAGGCGTCCTTCAACGGATGAGTGGATTAAAAAAAATGTGGTACATATATTTGATGTAATATCAATCAGCTTTAAAGAAGAATGAAATTATGGCGTTTGCTGATAAATGGACAGAATTGGAAAATATCATGCTAAGCAAAATAAGCCAGTCTCCAAAACACAAAGGCCAAATGTTTTCTCTGATATGTAGATGCTAATTCACAATGAGGTGGGGGGGGTGTTAGGGAAGAATAGGGTTATTTTAGATTAGGTAGAGGAAAATGAAGGGAGGGGAGAGGATATGTTGATAGGGAAGGATAGTAGAATGAAACAGACATTATTACCTTATGTACATATATGACTGCATGACCTATGTGATTCTACAGCATGCACAATCAGAAAAATGAGAAACTATACCCCATTTATGTATGATAGGTCAAAGTGCATAAATACATTCTACTGTCATGTATAACTAATTACAACAAATTAAATTTTTTTTAAAAATCTATTTCAAAAATATAAATAAATAAATTCTACCATTTTTCAGAATCCACTGTACAAACCATGGAACATTTAGGATTCTGGGCCTTCTTCCTGAAGCAAAGGTGCATAGGTTACAGCCCATGTCAGTCCTGTGTTACTTGCTGAAGTTTTGAGGCTGATCTGGGAAGAAGTTTGAAGTGCAGCCTTCCAATAAGGCCCAGAGTGGGCTTGAGGCCAGACCCAAAAGAGGACAAAGCTGTTGGCTCAGAAGTTTTGAAACCTTCTTTGAACTCCAGCTGTCATCATGCAGAGAGGGCATTAATAAAGCCACTGTTAACAAAGCCCCAATGTGCTAATGAAAACAGGAAGGAGTCCTGCTTTGGCTGCTGTGTAACTACGAATCTTAGTTTCTTTATCTACAAAAAAAAAAGTTTGAGAAAATCAGGAAAAATAAAATGCAGCAGCATTTTTTATGCTGCCAGAAGTTATTCAATTGCTGCCATAATTATGTGCTTGGCCTTGCTGGGATCTTGGAGGATTGGACTTTACAGCTACAAGTCCCCCACCCCAAATTTGAAGGTAATTACTAAAATTTAAGCTACCTGAACCAATCTTTTGAAGATGCTAGATGGAGATTTAAAAATTCGCTCATAAAGGAGCACAAAAAGCAGGAAATCCGGAAAACGCAGAGGCTCAAGGTCCCAAACCCTCAGGGTCTGCTGTTGTGAGTGAAACTATTCATTCATTCATTCATTCATTCATTCATTCATTCATTTTCCCTTGCCTCACTCCTCTCCCAGTTTCTTTGTAAGGGAAGAAGGACCTATCAGCGGCCTCTGCGGACCTTCCCAGCTGCGCTCAGTGTCCCAACCAGCGTCAGTCGCGCCAGGGCTCTGCTTACCTGTCCCGCAGGTGACCGCATCGAAGCCCCATGGCTGTGCATTCCGCGTCGCTCACCGACATCCCTTTGCAGGACTTGATCGGGTAGATCCACAGCTGCGCCACGGTGCCCACCTGCTGCAGCGGCCGGCGCTTCCTGGGCCGCACTCGACGCCAGGCGACAGCCCCCAAGGCCACCATCGTGGCCAGACCTAGGGCAGCAACGCTGAGCCAAGGTCGAGGCTGCGCCGCAAGGCCGAGGCGGGCTAGCGCCGAGGAACCGGCGGTACCCATGGCCCGAGATGCCCGGGGCGGCGGGAAAGCCTGCGTGGATGAATCACTAGGCAGCGGTGGGGCCGGAGCGCGGCGGAAACCCCAGGCCACTGGGAACGAGCGGTCCCAGGCCCGGAGCCCAAAGGGCGTGCAGCTCCTGAGCCCCTAACGGACCAATCAGAGCTCCGCATCCTTCTTCTGGGAGCTGGTGTGGGAGGTGGTAGCTCAGCTTCCAGTTTTTGCCCTGCCTTCCCCATTTCCCGCGGCCTATGGCTTCAAGGCAATATGCCCCTCTCCATGTTCCTGCCAGTGTCTAGTTAATTAACGTATTTGTGGCGTAGTTTGCTTGAACCAAAAAAACTGCGTAATTTTGAAATTAGAAATCAGGCAGCGAAGCCTCAGAACTGGAAGGGCCTTCGCTGGGACCCTGCAAGCCTGGGGCTCTGGCTGAGAAGGTTGGTACTAGGACAGGCTTTTTCCACCCTGAGGACTGTGACCTCAGTCACTTGCCACTTACAAACAAGGTCATTATTTTAACCATTTTGGTGAAAGAAAATGAAGAAGAAATCCTTCCTTATGTGAAATATCTACACAAACTTAAATTGAGCAACAAGAAACCACTTATGGCAATTTTGAAATAATTATTATGTTTTTATAGGTCTAGTCTTTTTGAAAAAAAAATAGGTGAATGATTACAATCCTTCTAGAGGGATTATAATAATTATATAAAAGGTATGCAAGGATATGTGATATACAAGCTCTTGATTGTTATTTCCGACCTATTTTGGTGTACCTGTGTCAATTTTGTTCAAATATTCACAGAGTTGAAAACTTGGGACTTAATGAGATAACCAACAAAGCCACCACTATCAGAGTGATTTAGGAGGCTGAGTTGTGTTACAGAAAAAAATTATTCCCACACTTATTAAAATTTTAAAGAAGACTATTCAAATTATTGGGTGTATAGCTCAGTGGTAGAGCACTTGTGTAGCATGCATGAATGATGTCATAAGTTCCATCCCCAGCATGGGTGAAAAATAAGTATTCTTACAGGGGTATTACAATAGGAGATAGAGATTGTGCTCAACTCTTCATTACAGCAAAGATACCTGGGGACTTATAGGCAAGAGGCATAGGGGTCAGATAGAAAATCACTACCAGGAGACATCAAGGGGAATGAGACTCTTATTAAAGGAGTTCAAGGTGCAGTTTCATGTCAGGGCAAGGTGAGAGAGGAGGAACTTGAGCCAATATCCAGAGTGATGAGCTATCAAGGGTGGGGGAATTCTATCTAATCTGACTTAACAAGATTCCTGCTAAGAACCTGGATTCCACAGGCCTGGGAGGGGTGGGGGATTGGGGAGTGGAACCAAGTTTGAGACCTAGTCAAAAAAAGGACCTACAGTGAAGTTTGGTCAAGGAGTCTTTGTCAGGCTCAGGTAAACCACCAGTCCCTCTGTCTAGATCTGTCCATGCAGAGGGAACATGTCTGGGATTAGAGAAGGGAGAATTCTCAAAGGGGAGTAGACCTTTTTCCTTTAGCAAGTAATTCATTTCAGGGCCCTTCAGTCCTCAAGAAGGATCCTTCTAGAATGTTGGTCCTCATCATAGATGTACAGGCCCAAACAGATACTATCCTCTCTTCCAATCCTGAATCACCCTCACCCTCACTCCTATGAAATCCAGAAATTGTGTTCAAAGTATAGAGGTCACTGTTTCTCCAGCTGTTGGGATGCATTAATGATCTAGACTCTTCCAGGGTTGGCTGGAGGGAGAAGAGGGTTGGGTAAATCTTTCCTCCCTGAAAGAAGTGTTGATTGATTGTGGTGTGCCACTGAGTATGTGGGTGAAGTGTGACTCATCAGTATGGCACAGGACTTGAGTTCTGTGTTCTCCACAGAAAGACAGCTCCGAGACACTGACGCCTCTGTGTTTCTGTCTGTCTCCCTCCTTAATCTCTTTGGAAAGTTAAAAGGGAAAATATGGCTTTTTTATTTTAGTGGTTAGCATGACTTTCTCATTTTATCACTTCCCAAAATGTATCAGAGGATGGCTTGATTACTACTCTCACCTCACAAGGTGCCAGGGATGAAGGTTAACTTCAGTCCCAGAAACTTGTGAAAGAAAATGAAGAAGAAAAATGGAGAAGGAAGAAATACCTGCTCCTTATTATTTACCACTAGGAAGTGTCCTCATCTCAGACCAGCCATCTGTGTACCTGCAGTTCCTGACACCTACACCCACCAGTGACAGGAGGTAATGTCTGTGGAGTCAGAGTGTGTTCAGAAAGGGTCAAGGAAAATGAATGACAGTGACTGATGTTCTAAGATACAATCAGCAAAGCCCTGGAAGACTCAGAAACACCAAAGACAAAGTAGGACTGAGATTTACATTTATTAATCATAAAGAAACCAGAAGATTATAAATGGGTTAATCATTTATATATTACTTCAGTGAGCATTTTTTTGCTTAGTCATCAAAACAGTTCATTTTTCTTTGTCATAAAAAATACACATGTATTTTTAAAAGTGTGTTCATGCTTTCTTCTTTCCATTCCTTGTCTCAAAATCCCATTTTCTTCTAAATTCCATTTTCCTCTTTATCTTCCTGGGAATTCCATGGGGTGTATTGTCAGACATAAACAAATTATTTTCATAGAGCTGAGCAGAGGCATAGTCAAATGTAAAAACAAGGTCTAGAAAATAATTTCTATACTCAAATATGACCCTGATTCCACAATGATAGGGTTAAAAAAAAAAAAAAAACACCAAACAGATGAGTGAAACATCAATAGGGCTCAAGAGACAGCTCAAGAACAACTGTTAGGCACTTGTGAGCATGTTAACATGTAAAGGAGCATCAGGAAACAATTTTGTTGCTTGCATTTCTCCTAAAATGAAGAATGATAGGTAAAAAGTATATACATTTAAAATATTTTCTTGCGGTTTTCTTCGTTATTGTTGTTGTATTTGTTTTTAACTGACTTTAAACTTTCTTTAAACTCATCAATAGTAGAGTCAGGGATTAGAAAATATGACAGTTATAGTAACATTCAAAATAATTTTATAGACAATTTTGTTCATTTAAAAGCCTTTCATCACCTAAAATTTATATTCCATCATATTCCCAAATGACTTCCAAATACTTTTTCTTGCATTAACTCAGAGCATACATAACTCTGAAAAGTCAAAAAATAGAATCAATTACAGGAGAAAAATGGTTCGAGGCTGGGTGATAGGGATTTGCTGAGGTATTGTTGATGCTGTTGATAAAATCCTGATGGATGCCTCCTGGATGATAAAAGCTGGATAAATAACAAGAAATTCTGATTATTTGGTTATTTAGTCTACTGATCATAAATAATCAAAGTACCCACAAAACACTTATTGAGGTTACAATGCAGGCAATATAAACTATGTTGTGCCCAAGTGCCAACATGGAATAAAGCAGCCTGTTAAGATTGAGTTCTATGTATATACACACTTTCTTTATCCATTCATTTATTGAAGGGCAGAACTAGGTTGGTTCCATAGCTTAGTTATTGTGAATTGAGCTACTATAAACACTGATGTGGCTGCATTACTGTAGTATGCTGATTTTAAGTCCTTTGAGTATAAATCAAGGAATGGGATAATATATATATATATATACATACACACACACACAACAAATAAAAAAAAATTGAGTTCTGCAAGGGCCCAGAGCAAGAGGTCTTTCTTACATGATTTTGCTATGGTTTGAGAGTGTTTACTAAGGGTTCTCATGTTGGAGGTGTGATCCCCAATGTAGTAAATGGATCTTTAAGAAGTAGGGCTTCTTAAAGGGAAGTGGTTGGGTCATTAAAGGGTATGTCCTTGAAGAACCTTGAGGTAGTTTTATGGAATCCCAGTTATCTCAAAGTAAGTTGTTAATAAGCAAGTGAGATGGGCCCCTCCCTATTCTCTGGCTTCTTGTTTCACCAGGTGATCTCTCTCCACATGCTTCTGCCCTGATGTTATCCACATGCTGTGACACAGCCAAGGAGACTCTTATCAGAGGCCAAACTACACGGGATCACCCAATCTTGGACTTTTAGCCTTCCAAACTAAGCTAAATAAACTTCTCTTTATTATAAAGTATCCAGGATATTTTGTTGTAGCAACAGAAAATGTACTAATCACACAACATGTGGGGAATGTAGAATGGAAACAACCCTGGAAAACAATTGGTAAGATGCTAAATAATATGCCTACACCCCACGGGCCAATAATTCTACTTTCAGGAATCCAACTTACAGAACAATCCTTTAATTTTTAAATGTTCTTATCCAGTATAATATTATTTATAATAAAAGTTGATATAATCCAAGTGTCAAATACTGAAAAATTGTTTTTAAAAAGTGCCAATCATTTATATAATTCAGTGTTATAAAACCATCAAAGATGAATTTGAATAGATTGGAGAGTTCCACACCAACATATGCTTACAAATCATATATATATATATATATATATATATATATATATATATATATATATATACACACACACACACAAACACACACACACACACACATATATAATGGCTACATTACAAAAACAAAAATTCCTACCAGAATGAAGTTTATAAACAGTGATCAAAGGTGATTTCTTTCTTTTACTTTTCTGGCATTTTATAAATTTGCCATGGTGAACATATGCTGCCATTATAATAAAACATATAAACTTTAGTATATTTAAATTTGAAGTAGATAGACAACTCGAATCACATGTATTAACCCAAGTGCATGTATTAACTGATTTTTCTTTTTAAGGCTTTAGATGGTCTTTCAATTTATCCCATAAAGCTGGTCCGCCAGTATGCATAAACTATGGTGGGCTTGTACTTAAAATAAATAAGCAACACTGTGTTATTTTTAAAACCCCTAAGCAAGGGTCATAACCAGCAAAGAAACCTCTCAGTGTCTCCTCTTCTTCTGTGAGGTACATGGAGGAAGCAATGTTCAGAGCCAGGAAGCACAAGGGCACATTTGGAAATGCCCAGGATTTGTGTGAGGAGTGAAGAGTGATGAATTTGGCAGGGAGTTTAGGGCCCCATGGCAAGCAGCATCTGGGACACACTGAGGATCTATCTGGGCATTCTGCACCTCCCTCTCCTTGTCCACAACTTCCTCCCTCCTTCAATCACATGCCATCACCCCTGCCTGCCCTTCCACCTCTCCTCTCACCTCCCTCCACACCATCCCACCCATGGCTCTCAGGACCATCTGCCAAAAGCATAGCTTTGATTATGTTTGGCTTTAAACATGTTCCACACACCAACCTTTATTGCAAACTTACTTTCAAGAACCTACCATACCTGGCTTCATCCCTCTTCTCCATCCTCATCTCCCTTAGTCCCTGCCCTAGTGTCCTCCTTGGTCCCTACAAAGGTAAGAACTTGTAGGAGCTTCCATCCTAATAGACCCCTAGAGCACTCTGTGGTCTTCTTTCCTCAGCACGTTCAGGCTGTATCTATCCTCAAGCTTTCCTTCATCATCCCACCAGAAAGACTGTCTATCTCCTGTGAACCCACAGAGAACCCTGTCTGTCCTAAGTTACAGCTATTTCTTTATACATACAAATGTATGCCTCTGTGTCGGGTGAAGAGCGTGCCTCCTGGCTCTATCTCTTATCGCCTCTGTGTGGCACTAGGTTAGTTGACTATCTGAGCCTTTGTTTCTTGCCTATTATTATTTTTAAGTCATAGAGACTCTAAAAGGATGATAAAAGATGACCATTATCTTAGGATCTTTAATTTAAAAGGCATTCTGGGAGCTGAGAAATTGGAGGTCACTTGAATTAACTTTAGATGATTCTTGCCTCCCCTCCATTGCAAGAGAGCATCGGATTGGGTCACCTGGAGTACCCTTAACTGTTAAGGGGACTGGGTGAGTCTGTGACCAAGTGACCTGGAGGACCTCTAATGGTTAAGGTCTCACAGAGACCACTTGACTCAGGCTTTGATCCAGGTCCAGTCAATCATCACTGGAATAGGTGGACAATGGATCAGTTCCATTTATGTTAGATGGCTCAGATTTGGATTCACTCTTCCTGCAAATGGGGGACTTTAGAAATGGCAGGAACTTAGAAATTTCAATTTCCTTTCTAGTATTCACTGTATTTCATCAAACTCAAGATACACCAAATGTAAGATATACCATTATTTTATGCATCGTGAAGATTTTTTTAAAAAGTATTCAGAATGCTATAAGAAGCTGTGTAATTTTAAAGATGTTAAAACAGACATCTTAGAGCTGATGAAATATGGTTAGAGATATGGTTACTTGAATACGTACTCATAATAGGTAACCAATGAACAATTTTTTCCTTTTGCCTACCTCGAGGGTAAAGCCCATCTCACCTTTATACCCCTTACAGCACCTCAGACTGAGCCATGATGCAATGATGACAAAAAAAAAAAATCATAGCTATTATTTACTGAGCACTTTCTATGTGCCTGCTCTAATGCTGTAATTTTATATGGATTAATACTCAAAATAACTTTTATTGGTTGTTTTGGTAAGAACTAGCATCATTCTCATTGTGCAGAAAAGGGTACTGATACTTAGCTTAAATAACTCAACCAAGTAAGGAAGATGTTAGAACTACAAATCCAAGGCTGTCTAATGCTCAGTCTAGGCCTGTCTGGACCACCTTTGTACATCATCAGTCAGGTGGGTGGGCATCAATACTCAGTAGTGAGAAGTTCAGGCCAGAATAAGAAAGAAGTATGGTCAAGGTTTTTAGAGAAAAAGATATTTTAAGAGGGTCATAGATTTTACAGAGAAGTTAACTCAAAACTTCAATGTGAGGTCTTCCAACTGACTTTCTTATTCCTATAATATGAGGGTCAGGCTTACACCTCCAGGATTCAGGGTTTTTCTGGTCCAGTGAAATCAATGTGAGCACATTATTTTCTACCTCATGCTTCAGGATGCAGTCACCTTGAGGCACTGATTTTTTTTTTTTTTTCAAATTCAAACTACATTTTAAAAAACATGTTTGATTTTTTTTAAAAAAAGCATTTGATTTAAATATTTTTGCCAAGTTGAGTTTGAATAATTTACACACTTCCCCTTCACTTTTCTATCTAAGACAGAAAAAATATATATATAACTCTGGAGAATGGCTCACCTTCACCTCCTTATTCCTTATGGATATTCCTTAATGAACTGGAAACATATACCTGTCTCTGCCAGGGTTCTCCATCTGCATTTTATAATTGAATGGGAAGGAAGGATGGAGAAAGCTAGGTGGAAATACATAATTACAGAGGGGAATAGAAATGAAGGGCATTTTCCAATTCCAAAGACCAGAATATAAAACATTCACTCAAAAATTAAAGCAGCACAATAAAAAATATATATATATTAACACAAGAAAATCCAGCTTTGAGAACCTGAGTACTTGAAGCAAAACTAACCTTTCACGTGTCACCCCAGCAGATCCTTCACTGTACCATCTGATATACAGGGTCGCCAACTTTCAGGTTTCCAATTTTTTCCACTGAATAATAAATTCCAAAAAGTGGGGATGACTTGTATATTTTTTTCTCAGATGGATCACACAGACGGTAGCTGAAAGAAGCAAACATTCCTCATCAGGCACAAAAAGGAAATAACAATCTAGGTACTCTCCATAGAGCCCAAGGTTTCAGTCTGGTTATTTATACATCAATAGCAAGCCCCCTTTTTAAATGGTAACACAGAAATCTGTGGATAATTAGTCCAACTGTAAGTAATCCTGGTTTTTCTAGAAGTAATAACCTTAGAGTATGAACAATTTTTTCATGCCTTCAGTTTGAAGCTAAAAAGAAAAAAAACACTTGCACATGTAATCAGAATATAAATATTTTGCTTACATGAGTACCTTCAACTTTATAACTCCCTGAAACAAATGCTCATGAAATCTCAAAATGGAACTGCCCTGATCTCTAAACCTTCTGTTTACTGCACTTGAGCACTTTGCTTTCCACCCCCTCCAAGTTTACAAGATAAACTTGACAGTGTTGGAGTTCGTTGGTAGACAAAAATTAAGGCACAGATGCAGTGGGCAGGCGGTCTGGCTTAGAGTTGAAAATTTTTTTTTCCAAAGGTCCATCTAAAGAAAAGAAAATTAACTTCACTGAATTTTAAACAGCAAAGGACAAAAACAAAACAGAACAGTACATCCGAAGACTTCATCAAATAACCTTTTCTCAAATACCCATTGGAAACAAACAACAAAATAAAATAGAAAAAAATAGAATACAACACTAAAAAATGTTAACTTCAGTTTTTTTTTCTTTTTTTTGTTTTGTTTTGGTTTGGGTTTTTTTTTTTTTTTTTTTTTTTTTTGGTGTGTGTGTGTGTGTGTGTATGTGCAGGGAATCAAACTCAGGGCCTTGTACATGCTTAGCCAAGTGCTCTACCACTGAACTACACTCCCAGCTCTGGACTTAGGTCTAAAAACACATTCTACTAAGGACTAAGTTAGTGAAACTTCTTTAAAAAATAAAATAATAATAATCCTGACATTTAAAAAGCTCCTCTGGGCATCATAGGGCATGCCTACATCCCAGCAGTTCAGGAGGCTGAGGCAGGAGGATCATGAGTTCAAAGCCAGCCTCAGCAACAGCGAGGTACTAAGCAACTCAGTGAGACTCTGTCTCTAAATAAAATACAAAATAGGCCTGGGGATGTGGCTCGGTGGTCAAATGCCCCTGAGTTCAATCATGGTAACCTCCTCCCCACCACCCCAAAAAGAATCTCCCAGGTATAAAAACTAACAACCCATTCCATTCCATTTTTTCTAATATTTCATTATGCAATTCAAATTATTCTCATATATTTTGCTATTGATTCTAATAAAGGAATTTGAATTGTAATAGATATAATTAAATAATTACTTGAGGCCTCCATTTGGAAGTGCAAATATAAATATTATTAAAAAATTGATAAGAAGCTGGGCTTGGAATTGGGATACAGTGGACAGATTCCCCATGAGCATGGATAAGACTTCCGATTACCCTGTGGTGAACATGACGTGGCTGGGCAGACTGTGATGTGAGGCAGAGGCCAGGTGCCATAGTGCTGGTGGAATCGGCAAGCCCAGCCAGTGGTAATGCAGAAAATGAAACGGCCACTGATGGCTCCAATGGGTAGCCTCCAGCAAGGCCAGCCAGGGACCAAGTTCACCCTATTCCATTGGTCAAGTGGAGTTGGTGAACTTGGGAAAATAATTTGGGACAGAAGTCAGCAGGGGCCAAGAGAACCCAGATGTGTTAGGAGCTGGCAGGAGCCATGAGAGCTTAGATGTGCTGGGATCTGGCAGGGGGCAAGAGACTTCAGGAAGTGCTAGGGCTTGTTCCCGATGTTGGTGAACCAGAAACAAGCCCATACCTTGGAGGTAAGGCACCTGTACTGTTCAGTGCTTGTTACGCTAATGGCTCTACCATGGACAACTGACTGTGCAGATGGCAGCCACTGTGGAGCCAGAAACAGACACTGTCTGGTTTGATACCAGTGCAGGACAAAGTAGCCAGTGAGCTGAGCTACACACTGTCTGGATAATGATAGCAAATGAAGCATCCCCCATAGCAATATGTACCAACAGCTGTGCTATGTGTTGGGTGCAAGTTCTGTGGCAAGAACTCTGGGAGTTAAGCCACCAGGAACAGGTGACTCTAGGGCATGTTACTGGCCATCCCCTGTGACTAGCCCAGGGACTCATGAAGCAGATGCTTTGGTGAGGGTGCGGTGGTTAGAGCAGGCCCCTCCCACCAACCTGGCAGTACAGGTGTGAAAACAGTATGGCAAACAATGGGGCCTGGCTTTAACGTGGGATGCCCTGGTAGAGGTTTGTGCTCAGAAATATCCACACCCCTGACACCTGGGAGCCAGAGATGGTCAAGTAATGCATGGATGTGTCCCCCTGATAGGATGGCAGGTTGACTACATTGGCCCTTGACTGATGCTGAAGTGGCCCATGTTTGCCTTGATGGCATTTGATACAGCTACAGGCGTGGTGTTTGCCTGGCCCAATGGTCAAGCAAACCAGCGCACTGCGATTCACACCCTGACAGTGTTGACAGCCTGTACAGCTGGCCCATCACAATAGTGAGTGACCCAGGTACTCATGTCATGGGTGAGGATGTACAGTGATGGGATCTCAGTTACCAGTACAACAACGTCTAACACCTTTGTTGTCCAGGTGACAACAAAGGATCATCATGGAAGACCTCCAACACATAGATTCAATGGAAGCTGCATATCCCATATCACCCACAGTTGCAGGCCTAATAGGGATATAATGACCTGCTTAAGCAAGGACTTAGGACTGCAGTCAACACCCCCTCCACGGTAGGCACAGCACCTGAGGGCAACTGTGAGAGCTCTGAACAAGTGTGAATGGTCCCATGAGAGGCACCAGCTCCTGTGGAGGCTTTGCTGCACTACATAGCAGCACCAGTGCAGGTCCGGGTGACAACCAAGGATGTTGTACTTAAGCCTGTGTTTGGGCAGCCAGGGAATGTTCATTTGCCCACTCCCATTGGATTGAATCAAGGGAAAAATATGGAGTGGACCTGGCCCTGGGCAATAAAGGACCCCACATGGGTTGGGTATCCCTGTTAGCCCCATGGGGAAAAGGTTTGGAGGGTGACCTCCTTGTAATACCATAGGTGACTAGTGAATCCCCCCCCCACCCCACCCCCCGCGGCCCATACATGTGACTTGGCCAGGTTCTGTGGCTGGGACACAGATTTTAAAAGGCATATTTATGGGGCTGGGGTTGTGGCTCAGTGATAGAGCGCTTGCCTAGCATGTGTGAGGCAGTGGGTTCGATCCTCAGCACTGCATAAAAAAAATAAATAAAATAAAGGTATAAAAATTTTTTAAAATAAATCAATAATGTTTATTATTTTCCTTCAGCCAATTCTGAGTTCCCGAGTGCTAGTGCACACAGAAACTGCTGGAGTTCAGGATCAAGCTATGAGTGTGGAAGCACCCAGGAAAGCTGCCACAGGCAGCCACCGTGCTTTCCAGGACTCAAAGCTGACATGCATTCTCCCAGATGGACGTGATTTACCTGCACTTGTACCTGTAAGTGCCTTATCCTTTCATCTGTAGGTGTGTCCTTGCCATCACTGTTGTGGACTGGACACACACCTACACCAGAGTAGCAAACACATCCGCCTGCTGAGTATGCACGGAAGTACCTATGAGTTCTACTGCCAGACTACCCAGGTGGATCCAGACTATATCCCTGAACAAGTGGACGTGACTGGGAAAGTCTTTTATTGCCACCTCAATATGGGATGAAACTGGAAGTGGTTTTTAGTAACCCCAGATGCTGGGACTTGTTTTCTGATTCTATGTTTTTGTAGTTTGCATTGTTGTTATGGCCTATGGACGCAGGATCTGCCCTCCTCACAAAGGATCATCGTGGAAGACCTCTAACACATAGTTTGTGTGGTGAGGAATCCCTATAGAGCGGGTTCAAGATGGCTATAGTTAGGCTCCTCGCTAGGGCTTCTGGCAGGCTATGTTTTTAGTATATAACCAAAGTCATGAACACCCTGATTCAGCATATGTACCAAAGGTCATAAACATGTGCTTGTGAGCATGCGCTCAGTTATGTAACCTGTTGGCAGTGGGCCATCTTTTTCTGGCCTGCACACATTAAAAAAAAAAAGGCCTACGGAAAGACTTAAGGTGCAAAATGGGGCTGAGGCTGGCAGCTGGGGGCTACTGCCACCTCTGAATAAAGAATGTCTACTACTTAAGCTGTGCATGGTGGCACAGATCTATATAATCCCAGCAAGTCAGGAAGCTGAGCCAGAAGCATGGCAAGTTAATCTTGGCAACTTAACAAGGCCCTGTCTCAGAATAAAAAAGTAAAAAGGGCTGAGAATGTGGCTCAGTGGGCAAGCTCCTCTGGGTTCAACCCCAGTAATAAATAAATAAATTAATTAATTAATTAATAAAAAGAATGTCTACTATCCCCCCATGCACAGAAAAGAATCTGGGCACATGCTCAGAAACTCCTGAGTTGCTGTAATCTCAGCAACTCAGGAGGCTGAAGCAGGAGGATCACAAACTCAAGGCCAGCCTCAGTAATTTAGTCTGTGTCTCAAAATAAGAATTTTAAAAGGGCTGGGGATATAACTCAGTGGTAGAACATCCCTGGGTTCAATCACCAGTACCACAAAAATAAAACCAAAAAAAACTGATATGAGAGACATTTAAATTTCAGAATGGAATATTATATAATTAAAAACTTATCAAAAGCACTAAAGGGGAAAACAAAGAGGAAGCAATAAGTACTCATTTATAATAACTGATAGGCACACAGAGTGACAGGGGCTCTGGATTGAAAGGTCACATGCACCTCGTGGCTGACATAGCACCCAACCCTTAGGTCAATATGGTATTTGGATAATATTAAAAACACTGGACTTGGTGTTCTACCTCTTCAGGGTTTCCAGCGGCTCCTTCCTGTCTATGATTCCAGTATCTGGGTCCACCGTAGTCATAATGCACCTGTCACACAATAACCATGGGTTAGGTGACATTCAAGAACCAATGGGCACTGTGCACATATTATTCAATTATGCTTTGTGTTATATATATTTACATGTATAGAAAAAATCCTGGTTGGAAATATTGAAAATTAAAGATTATTGTTTTGAGAAAAAAAAAGAACCAATGGGCATTTCATACCCCAAAGGTGAAATTTAGTGAGAATCCTTACCGGGGGCAAGACAAGACCTTCTTCATTTCTACATCACCAATGAGGAGTTCATCCCAGCAATCCTAGAAGGAAAGACGATATATTTTAAGAGTAAGACTTCTTGGGTCTTGTTGTTCATTTTTTTGGCTGGTACCAACTATGAATCAAGCAGAAGAAAACAGCACAAGAAGACATCAAGAACTGTCACATGTGGATGGGTCCAGGGTTCACTTCTTCCCCGAACTAGGGATTGAACCCAGGGCCTCATGCATGCTAGGCAAATGCTCTACCACTGAGCCATGACCCTAGCCTCAGGGGTCTACCTCTTGAGTCAGACTCAAAACCCTGATTCTGTCAGCACAGCAAGAACAAACTTCCTACAGAGTGGCAGTTTGCCATAACCATCAGAATTAACGAAAAGACTAATTTACTGGTATGCAATGAGATCTACAGATTGCAAGATAAGCCCACTCTTTCCTCATGGCTAAGCTATGATGGAAGGGAAGCTAAAACTGAGGTTCTTTGATGAGTGGGACATCACCCGAGGGGAGTCAGTCATGATTCACTATCCAACACTGCTACCTCCTGACCTCGGCACTGACATTCCACGGCCACTGGCTGTGCCTTGCTTGAACAGCCGGCACCACCCACATTTGCTTCACTCCTCCAAGGAAGCTACTATCATGATCCCTGTTTTACCCTAAGAGACAGAAGCCTAGAGAGATTTCAAAATCTTAGCGTCACACAAAGAGAATGTAGGGCAGCTAAGTCAGAAAATCTTTCTGATTATGAAAGCAGGACTTTTAACTACCCAACTCCTAATTCTCCCATCCATATTCCTACACAAGCACATACACACAGATACATACACACGAACATGCACACATATATACAAACACATACACAGAAACATATGCACACATACACATATATAAATATGCACACAGGCACATTTACAGAAACACACATATGAACATCTATACATACATATATGAGAAAGATGGACTAATTATATGTACACATATAATTTTTTTATTTTCATATACAGATATTCATTTACATACAGTAGTCCTTTGGTATCCAGCGAAATTGCTTTCAGGACCCCCTTTGGATATCAAAATCTGCAATGCTTAAGTCCCTAATATAAAAAGGCCTAGTATTTTCTCATAATATATGCACATCTTCCCATATACTTTAAATAATCTCTGGATTACTTATATAACCTAATATAATGTAAATGCTAGGTAAATAGTTGTTTAGGAAATAATGACAAAAAAGGCCTGTACACGTTGCAATTTTTTCTGAATATCTTTGATCTGCAGTTGGCTGAATCTGCAGACATGGAGGGCTGACTGTGTACATATGTTCAACTAGATACATGAACCCATATATGGAGGTTATATGGACAATTTTGTAGGGGAGGCAAAATTTATCTCTGTTCTTTTAGGGATTTTCAGCTCAGCCTGAGGATTAAATTGACATAAAACAGATCAATAGAAGAAAGGCATACAAACTTATTTAATACAATTCATTTTACACAGGAGCCTTCATAATGAAATTAAGACCCAAAGACAGAGAGTTAAACACATATACTGAATTGGACAAAGAGTAGTAAAATTATGAAAACGTGACAGGACAGAGGGACTGGGCAAGGGCAGCTAATGGGGTAGAAAAGTGACTCGGAAGAGGTTAGCTCCCCAAGGCTGGTTTGTACAGACTCCCCCAGCCTCAGCTTCCCTTCCCTGATAAGAAGGATACTTTCTTCATATCCTTTTGGGGAATGCATCTTTCTCATGGGAACTTCACCTCCTGCTTTTAAGGAACAGGACAAAGGTCAGTGTGATCCCCTTGCATCTGCTGTTTTCAAGGGCCTTTACTTCAAAATAATTAATATGCGAGAGCAACATGTTTTGGGGTGGCATGTTCTTAACTCCTTTAATAGCATATATGACATTACATCCTTGTGGGAGGGGGCATGTAGAGCTATATAAAGACCAAGGCCTCTCTTGCTAAGTGGAAAGCCATCGGGGTTCTTCATCTTTAAGGCACCCATGCCATCTCTGCTGAGACCTACTGATTTAAAGTTTGAACTTCACATGACAATCTGTTGTCCTGTTCTCCAGGTGACAAGCAGGAGGCATGAGGGATAGGGCTCACTACAGGCTCCTTGGACAACACCACCATCTATAATTGGAGCAAATAATGTTCTTGAAGCTGTTTCCTGATATTGAAATAGAATGACTTTGGAGACCCCTCTAAAATTGAGAGCAACTTCCTTATGCTGAAAATAAAACCTCAGGGGCTGCCCCTGGCCCCCACTCGGCCCCTGGCTTGGATTGGCCACAGAAGCTGAGAGTGAGACTGCCCTGCCCTGGCCTGTCTAGCATAAGTGAACTAAATCTGCATCTGTGTATCACCTGGCTTTTTTTTTTTTCTTCTATAAATTATGACTGCTTTTGTGGGACTAGGTGACAAGCAATCTAGCTGTTTCTCCCCACTTTGAACAAACAGCATAAAATTCACTCTTTCTTTTTCCCGTTTCTCAATGCAAGTAGTCAGCTAAATCCAGCCAGTTAGGATCCAGACAGGGTCCCTGGGCTCGGCTGCCATTAGTAGTATCAACTCAGGTGAGTTTCTGAAGACCCTGAGTCTAAGGGATTTAATGAGAAATCAGTCTAAGGAAATTAAATCTATCCCTGAGCATCTGCAGCTTTGCTCCCCCTCAGGGGGCATGAGAGAAGGCTGAAGCCTCCCCCTTCAGAAGGCAGAGTAGGGCGTAGGGTAGGGGTTAACACCACTCCATTTCTCCCTGTGTTGCTGATGACCACATTCTGCCCTGGTCCTCTTTCAGAGGCAAACTCCCGCCTGACCCCTAATACACTGAAAGTTCTCTGATATCTACTTGTGTCTTCAAAACTCAGAAATCTCTCACCTGATATGACCACAGCCAGACTGAGGGAAAGAGCTCTATGAATGCCCTGGGTTCCCAGTCATACTTTAGGAAACTGTTTCTGGGTGGAAACGAGCTTCACCTTTGGCAGATGAACTATGTAACCTTTGTAAAATTCAAGGACACAACATGTACGAATGGAATCTCCATATTCAAGTCAAGTCTTATTACACTCAGGGTTCAAAACAGCAAACCTACTGGTGGACCGTGCTCTCTCCCATGGGGTATGACAGAGTACTACAGCTCCAGTCCAGGGAAGGGAAGGGCTGGACGCCCTTCACCACACGGGGGCGCTGCGGCCACAGGAAAGGGAGCAACAGCACAACCAAGCAGGGCTGAAGGAATCCCATGCCCCTAAGCGCCTTACGTTCAATTGCCTTTTCCAAGCGAGGACGAATTTAATATTTCAAAGTCACATATCTGTGGATCTTCTACCTCGTGACTATGCTAGACATCAGGGAAGTCTGTAAAGTGTAGTTAGATTTCCTAGCTCAACAAGACAGATTCAGGTCATCTGCTCTTACGCTGTTACCAGGGTTGACTGCTTAGAACAACAGCACTTGGTCCGGATTCCTAAGAATTGTCTGTCTGCAGCACCCCCAGTAATCAGCCAGTTCTTATTACTTTCTGCAATATTAATCACTAAAGTCATTCCTCCTAATCTGATCATTTTTTCACATCTTGGTGTAAAACATTATCTACAGTGGAAAAACTTAGCTAATTACGTTTAAATGTAATTAATTCAGTTTTAAAGGAAAATAAATTTTAAATGACTGAAAAAATATTTGAGCTTTACCTTTCTATTGTGTTCCACTAGACCACATAATTTACTGAGTTATACTATCCAGCAAGGTCCCAAGGTCATCGCCGAACATAAAAACGCTGGAGGCAGGCAGTGCGCCCCCTGCTGGTTAACAGCCTATCTGCAGTCTGACGAAATCCAGGTCTCTGGGAACATTTCGAGTCAAGAGAGAAAACCATGGAATTTTTTAAATGAAAGAAGAGAGACTTCCAGGTAAATGGAGAATCGTTACACATCAGGGCCTCAGCTTTGTGGAATTCATCATTACAAAAGACATCTGAGAGTAAGATGGAAAGACAGCACAAGCTAGAATGAGTGGCCTGCTTTGGCAATAGGCTATGAAAGGGATTATCCTTTATAGAGTCCAGATCAGATCATCCATTCAAATCAGATGGACAGCCTTTGGGAGGCCATCTACTGCCACCATCTTGGCCCTCTCTTCCCTCCTAATCTCAGTCCCAGATTTAGTGTGTCTTTTTTCCAGCTCCTGACTTTCTAACAGCTACTCAAAAGTTACTCTATTGTATGTGGGATGTGGTAACACATGCCTTAGATTTCAGTGGCTGGGGAGGCTAAGGACAGAAGATCACAAGTTCAAGACCAGCCTCAGCAACTTAGAGAGACCCTGTTTTAAAATAATAAATGAAAAGGCTGGGGATATAGCCCAGTTGGTAGTGTGCTTGTCTCATATGCAGAAGACCCTAGGTTCAATCCCCAGTACCACAAATAATAATAACAAATAAATAAAGGGCTAGGGATGTGGCTCAGTGGTAAAGTACCTCTGAATTCAATCCTCAGTACCAACAAAACCAAAAATTTCTCTACTGTATTGTACATAAAATTGATAGAAGCAATTTTAAACCATTATGGCATAAATTGAGGGAATGAAGAAGCAAATAAACAAACAAAACTTTTTGATTTGTTGAAATCCATAGCAATTTTCCTAATTTGTTATTGATGACCTCACATGATTACAGTAAGTTCAAAAAGTCAGCAACTAATAACAGGCTAAATACACATGGGGTGCATGGACAACAATTACTTCTAGGACAATAAAAAAAAAGGATGTGAACCTACATTAACACTGAATAATGTTAAGATGTTGCTGAGTGAAAATAGTACAGTATACACACACGCACACACTCATAGAGTCATGTATTTCTTAACAGGGATACATTCTGAGAAAGTGTCATTAGGCAATATTGTCATTGTGCAAACATCTAACACAGATGAAATAGCCTACTCCACCACTTGGTTGTATGGCCTCTTAATGGCAACAAGAGCAGTGCATCTTGTACACTTAGGGGCCACCTAATTGTATCCAGTGTAAT